GCCTTAGGAGAGAAAGTGTTTGCACTTAAATAAAATCACCTAGGTCTACCAGGGACAGCTTTCCGGGCAGCTGCTATTCAGGATGATTTTAGATGACTCTCATTCATCCCAGTGGTACATTTCCTTGTTTACTCTCAGCTTTTAAGAATAGGAACTCATCAAAGTGTTACACCAACAACCATTGTATTAGTTGCCCCAAATCAGATATTGCTTCTTTCTAGTATTATCAAAGTCATGATTTGTGAGGATTCAATCCTAGCTTCCAAATCCCCAACCATTACCATATTTGGAGATCAGGAGCTTTAACATCTATGTTCTATACAGTCCATCTGTTTTGTTAGCAAAGAACTATAGCCCTGCCATGCTGACAAGAAGCTACTTTCCTTATGAGAAGAACATGTATATATCTTGGCTATAAGAAAAATTTTAAGGACATAAAAATTACAGTAATATTGTTGATAGTCAATTTTATTAGGAGGGTTTTAAATATTACATTATATAGCATAAGGAATATAGTCAAAATATTGTAACAACTTTGTATGGTGATAGCTGGTAGCTAGAATTATCATGTATATAAATGTTGAATCACTGTGTTGTACACCTGAAACTAATGTAATACTGTGTGTCAACTACCCTTCAATAAAAAATAATCAAAAAATAATAATAATTACATTAGCAGACTCATTCAATAAAAATTTTAGACATGGTTGAGTATGAGTATAAATCTCACTGCTATGATAATTAACTGCAATAATCATTGCAAGTAATTAAAAAAAATAATACAGCACATGCATATCTCCAGGTGGAATGAAAAAGGGGGAGAAATGCTGCCAGAATTAGTGCTTTGACAACTTTTTAGTAAACCTGCAGGTGTCGGAGTTTTTTTTTTTGGTATCATTAATCTACAATTACATGAGGAACATTATATTTACTAGACTCCCCCCATCAACAAGTCCCCCCCCACATACCCCATTACAGTCACTGTCTATCAGCGTAGTAAGATGCTGTAGAATCACTACTTGTCTTCTCTGTGTTGTACAGCCCTCCCCGTGCCCCCCCCACATTATACATGCTAATCTTAATACCCGCTTTCTTTTTTCCCTGCCCTTATCCCTCCCTTTCCCCCCATCCTCCACAGTCCCTTTCCCTTTAGTAACTGTTAGTCCATTCTTGGGTTCTGTGATTCTGCTGCTGTTTCGTTCCTTCAGTTTTTCTTTGTTCATATACTCCACATATGAGCTTTGCAGGCTTTAGATTTGTGGTTACCAAATCTTCAAGGTTAGCTTCTTTAGTATCTTTCTGTCTAACTTAACTAGCTTATTGAGATATTATAAGCACTGTCTGATGATTCTTTATTTCTCTCCCTTCTTATTCCTCCTCTTCCATTCTTTTTATGTTGGGTGTTTTATTCTGTGCTCTTTTGTGTTTCCTTTGGCTGCTTTTGGGGTAGCTGATTTAATTTTTTGCCTTTAGTTAGTATTTGGTTGGTCTACTTTCTTTGCCGTGATTTAATTTTCTCTGGTGACATTTATTTAGTCTTAGTAGTGTCTCCATCAAGAGCAGTCCCTCTACAATACTCTTTAGAGGTGGTTTTTGGGAGGCCAGTTCCTTCAACTTTTGCTTGTCTGAGCATTGTTTAATCCCTCCTTCATATTTAAATGATAATTGTGCTGGATATAGTATTCTNTGAGCTCTTTATATATTTTGGATGTCAACCCTTTATCGGATCTGTCATTTATGAATATATTCTCCCATACTGTAGGGTACCTTTTTGTTCTATTGATGGTGTCCTTTGCTGTACAGAAGCTTTTCAGCTTGATATAGTCCCATTTGTTCATTTTTGCGTTTGTTTCCCTTGCCCAGGAAGATATGTTCATGAAGAAGTTGCTCATGTTTATGTCCAAGAGATTTTTTGCCTATGTTTTTTTCTAAGAGTTTTATGGTTTCATGACTTACATTCAGGTCTTTAATCTATTTCAAATTTACTTTTGTGTACGTGGTTAGACAATGATCCAGTTTCATTCTCTTACATGTAGCTGTCCAGTTTTGCCAACTTCAACTGTTGAAGAGGCTGTCATTTCCCCATTGTAGGTCCATGGTTCCTTTATTGTATATTAATTGACCATATATGTTTGGGTTAATAGCTAGACTTTCTATCCTGTTCCACTGGTCTGTGGGTCTGTTCTTGTGGCAGTACCAAATTGTCTTAATTACTGTGGCTTTATAGTAGAGCTTGAAGTTGGGAAGCAAGATCCCCCCTGCTTTATTCTTCCTTCTCAGGATTGCTCTGGCTATTCGGGGTCTTTTGTGGTTCCACATGAATTTTAAAACTATTTGTTCCAGTTTGTTGAAGAATGCTGTTGGTATTTTGATAGGCATTGCATTAACTCTGTAGATTGCTTTAGGCAGGATGGCCATTTTGACAATATTAATTCTTCCTAGCCAAGAACATGGGATGAGTTTCCATTTGTTAGTGTCCTCTGTAATTTCTCTTAACAGTGTCTTGTAGTTTTCAGGGTATAGGTCTTTCACTTCCTTGGTTAGGTTTATTCCTAGGTATTTTATTCTTTTTGATGCAATGGTGAATGAAATTGTTTTCCTGATTTCTCTTGCTGCTAGTTCATCGTTAGTGTATAGGAATGCCACAGATTTCTGTGTGTTAATTTTGTATCCTGCAACTTTGCTGACTTCAGATATTTGTTCTAGTAATTTTGGAGTGGAGTCTTTAGGGTTTTTTATGTACAATATCATGTCATCTGGAAATAATGACAGTTTGACTTCTTCTTTACCAATCTGGATGCCTTGTATTTCTTTGTTTTGTCTCATTGCCATGGCTAGGACCTCCAGTACTGTGTTGAATAACAGTGGGGATAGTGGTGGGCATCCCTGTCTTGTTTCCGATCTTAGAGGAAAAGTTTTCAGCTTCTCACGGTTAAGTATGATGTTTGCTGTGGGTTTGTCATATATGGCCTTTATTATGTTGAGGTACTTGCCGTCTATGCCCATTTTGTTCAGATTTTTTATCATGAATGGATGTTGAATTTTGTCGAATGCTTTTTCAGAGTCTATGGAGATGATCATGTGGTTTTGTCCTTTTTGTTGATGTGGTGAATGATGTGGATGGATTTTTTGAATGTTGTACCATCCTTGCATCCCTGAGATGAATCCCACTTGATCATGGTGTATGCTCCTCTTGATGTATTTTTGAATTCGCTTTACTAATATTTTGTTGAGTATTTTTGCATCTATGTTCATCAGGGATATTCATCTGTAATTTCCTTTTAGGTGGGGTCTTTGCCTGGTTTTGGTATTAGAGTGATTCTGGCTTCATAGAATGAGTTTGGAAGTATTTCTTCCTCTTCTATTTTTTGGAAAACTTTAAGGAGAATGGGTATTATGTCTTCTCTATATGTCTGATAAAATTCAGAGGTGAATCCACCTGGCCTGGGGGTTTTGTTCTTGGGTAATTTTTTGATTACTGATTCAATTTACGTGTAGGCGTTCAAAAGATACACTTGATGTGCTACATAGTCTAATGTGAAAAGTACATGGACTGGATGAGAAATCCCAATGATGTGAATCATCCCAAGAATCCCCTAATCCCCAATACTGTGAAGTGAGGTTAGAGTTGGCTACAGCCCACCTGCAAGTGGCCTTCTCTGTTAGATGGGGAGCCAATTCTTGGCAACGTTAGGGGAAATCCAGCCATTTATCTAAGCTGCTCAACATTTGCCTTGAAGAGTGTTAAACTGTGACCAGCACCCCAGCCCGCGGGTCCTCCATCCCCACGCATCATATTTCCTTCCCCTACATTTGGTTTGTGCCCATTTGGCTCTGGGACTGCATTTGCTTCCTGAGAAAGCGTTTTTGCTCTTGTCTGCGAGGAGCAAGAGGAAGGCTCTGACGTCAGGGATGCGGAGGGCTACCACTGAGGGCCACCTGAGGTGATTTGTGTTCCTGGGGCCTTTGAGAAAGTGACAGTTGGGAGGTTGTGCAGCTGGCCGCAGGACCGCCACAAAATGAGGAATCTGCAGGGGCCCTGCCCCTCTGTACTTGGTCAGGACTCAGATGGCCACTGGCATTGTGGCTTTTTCAAGGACACTGGGCAATTTTAGTTCAGGCAACTGCCAATTTTGACTAAGGAATGGAGGGTAAATGACTTAGGCTCTGTGGGCCAAGAAGCACACCAGAGAGCGTATCATGTAGGTACTTACATTACAAGACTTTCACAATGTTTTGATTATCAAAATTCTAAGTACAACAATAACTGGGTACAATTTTTTGCAGTACACATCTAATAAGAGGAAACGAGTTCTTTTTTGAGGGGGATACATGTGTCTTAATTGGAGTTCAAAGGTAGTATAGCTATTAGCACATAGATCGCAAATGTTCACGTGTAAAAACTGCTTAACTACTTGGTACAAACAGGCAGCACTTTGGATCTGGCCCGCGGGCCACAGTTTACAGTCCCTTGTAGTTGGCCACCCTTCCTTTGCAAGGGATTTGGGGGTACTCCAGGTTGGTGGGACCCTCCTGGTTTCGAGGAACTTGCATTGCCCCTTCGCGCACCCTCCCTTCGTGCCCAGTTAATAAAGTTCATTGGCCTTCCCCCTCGAGGCAGAACAGAAAGGTCAAATTGGGGCCTGGAGCTCTCCCAAGGAGCAAGGGCACTTCTATGCCTCAGGAGACTCAAGACCACCCAGAGCCTCCCATCCACCGCCCTGCACCTGCCTTCCAGCCCCCTCCAGCTCCCCCTCCCTCGCTCTTCCAGCTTCTCCCTTCCCAACCCCGGGCATAGCTAACCCCTGCTTCACCCATCCCCTTACCCAGTCCCTCCGCCGGGTCAGTCCGCAGCGCTTTCCCGCCCCTCCACCCTCTCCCGCCCTTCCTTCTCCCAAGCCCCGCCCCCAGAAGCTCCTCCCCCAGCCTATCCTCTCCAGCTCCACCCAATCCAACTGGTCCTCCTCGTGCCGCAGCCACGCTTTCCCGCTCCTCCGCCCCCTCCAGCTCCTCCTGGCTCCGCTCCTCTCTCGGTCCAGTCCAAGGCTCTTTCCCGCTGCCGTCGCAGCCTCTGGTGGTACCGCAGCCACCTCTGCGCTCCGCGCCATGCGCAACATCGTGCTCTTCAGCGGCAGCTCGCACCAGGACCTGTCCCAGCGCGTGGCCGACTGGCTGAGCCTGGAGCTGGGCAAGGTGGTCACCAAGAAGTTCAGCAACCAAGAGACCAGGTGGGGGCCGCGCCGGCTGCCGGGTCCAGCCCGTCGGGACAGGGTGCTCGACGCGCGGCAGTGGGGCCGGGCCGGGGCCGGCGCCTGCCCAGGACCACCCTTCCGGGGCGGGACGGCCACGATGAGGGCCCCCTGCCACTCTGCCATGGCTGCGGCTCCAGGGAGAAGCCGCGGAGAGCGGCCCGGGCCCGAAAGGGCGACCTATGGGGGTAGCAGAGCGTCGGGGCGAGGGGGGCGCCGCGGGCGGGAACCGCATGGGTGCAGGGCACGCGGGAGGAACAGCCCCCAGTGTGCTTGCCCGGGTTTCCGCGTCCCTGTCACTCTGATCCCAGACCCCGGGTGTGCCGGGGAAGGTTCCGCCCACGTCCCCAGCAGGGCTGCGCGCTGGATTCAACCGGGCAGTTTACAGCGCCTCTTCCCCCTCTGCGCCAGAGGTTCTGATCCAGCGGCCTGAGGGTCAGCGGATTTAAAAGCTCCCTGGTGACTCTCCTGAGCAGCGAGCGTGCAGACCTCTGGGTTAACTAGAGCGTGTGCTTGTGCAGAGGGTTTAAAGAGCGTGAGAACGAACTCCAGGGCGCACGTGCTGGCTTCCTCTGTGCTTCCCCCAAGTTTTCTGCCTCAAAGATGATGGACTTTCAATCCTATTCGTAGTTCTGGGACTCTGCTGTGTCAAGCAAGGCCATGGCTTGTCTGTGACCACCACCTGTGTCATGGCCACGAGAAGTGGTCGTCTCTGTGAAGTGGGGTCAGGTGGCCCCCCTCAGAAGCTGGGCAGAGGCTCCTTTTTACACCTGCCTGCATCCACAAAGCTCAGACTAATTTCAAGTTGGTTTCATCCCCTCTCCCTCACTCTCCAAATTTCCAACACTACCTGGTTACTGATCATTTTTATATCTTTGGCAGAGGTCCAGTTCAAGCGTTTTCAACAATGGTACTGGAACAATGGGTGCAAGCTGCAAAACCAAACCAAACCAAACCTCCGTCTATACCACCATTTTAAAAAGTAACTTGAAATGGATTGTACACCAAAATGTAAAACCTAGAGCTAAAAATTTTTACAAGCAATCATGGGAGACAATCTTGATGATCTTGGATGAGGCAAAAATCTCTTAGATACCAAGGAGTTATGTTCATACTTACGGGAAAGATGGTGTTTGTTGTCAAGTCAGCTTTTGAGGATATGTGAATTCTTCCAGGTGGGAGATCACAGTTACACGGCCCTGATGATAACTGAAGGGAAGAAACGTTTGTGAAGGGGTGCCAGGTGGTATAAATGCCGAGTCCTCTGGCCAGAGAATTCCCGTTTGCAGAGTTTAATGCAGAAGTCCGAGAGGATGGTTACAGGCTCTGGAGAAGGGTAGTATAGCTAGGTCTGTGCATTGTAATATTTTCCAGTCCTTTTCAAATGTCAGTAGTTTTAAGAAGAATAGGATGATAGTTTTTGGAGGTGTTGTCATGCAAGTAAAGGACAAATGTATGGATGAAGTGGATTTTGAAAGCAAATATGTTGCCCTTCCATGTTATCTCAGTGCAGCCCAATCCTTTGCTGCCCAAGAGCCCAATTACTCTAGATCAGAAACCCATCACAAAGTCAGTGTTGTGTTTCTGCTCAAATGTTGCATACTCTTGGGTGAAAGTCACTTAAACATTGAAGTATGATTGTTGATATGTTTGTTTTCATGAAAACTAGAATCACTTTTATTTGATTTTGAGTATTTTATAACCACCACCTGCTGATTGGAAATCTTGAAGTCTCAAAAACCACCACTATGAAGTCTGGGAATTGCTTGTATAGTTGCATTTTGTTTTTAATATCAATACAATAGAAGGCTAACTTCCTGGCTTTTCTCTTTCCCGTGAGTTGTCTCGGTTCAGAGGTTGATATTTACAAACAGTATTCTCTGTACCAGGTACCGTGCTGGTGATACGCTTTTTACTGTGTGGTCCTAGAGACAAGAAACAGAAGGGCAAAAGGGAGAGAAAATTGATTCAAGTCATGTAAGGAGCCCCTTCCTGAATGTTGGGCTGAGCCAGGACCAGAAAATCTGCATTGCTGTCTCCTGGTCATCACCCCTCCCATTCCCCATTTTTAAAACATTACACAATTGAACACAGAGCCTCCTGATTTCCCCTTCTTGTCTCTAGATCATTTCAGATGTGCAGGGCGATGTCTGCCCAAGCTTCACTGTAGACCACTGAAACCCCACAATGACATCCTAGGACAGCACTGATAATGGTGTCTGAACATCTGTCATAACATTTTATCCTGTCCAGTTAACCTGCCCCAGAGTCGTTGGCTGTATTGAAAGATCCAAAGTTCTCATTATCTATTGTTGTGTAACAAATCACCTCAAATTTTAACAGCTTAAAACAACAGTTGTTGACTTGACTCCCAAACCTGCAATTTGGGCAGGACTCAGCAAGGAAGGCTGGTTTCTGCCCCATGTGGTTGCATGGGACAGTTAACTGGGGCTGCAGGATCCGCTTCTAAGGTGGCTCACACAGGGCTGGTGAGTTGGTGCTAGCTCTTGCCTGGGAGCTTGGTCAGGAAATTCAGTACCTCTCTGCAGGGGCTGCTTGCACTTCTTATCGCATGGAAGACAAGGAGCGGCAGCTGCCGATTTTGCTCTGTCCTGGGCTGTGAAGTTGGTGCATCATCACTCTGTCACATTCTCTTGTCCAGCAGAGTCTTTCCAAATCCAAGGGGAGAGGATATAGACCCTACTTCTTGGTGGGAAAAGTATTAAAGTGTCTGCAGTCATCTGTAATTACCACACCCATTCATTGTTGAGTCACATAAACTCATCTACCTTCTTATTTGGGGATCAGTAAAGATCCTCTGAAAAACAAATGGATGCTGCTTTCTGGCCACAGGTTTAAAAGACCTAGAATAAAGGCCAGTGGTGATTGTCTTTATGAATAGAAGCAGGAATAGCCTTGGAAAAGTTGCCATGGTGATAGTATTTTCTGTCCTCCCCTGAACTGCTAGTCATATGGGGATTGGGGTTCCTGAGGAAAAATTGATCCAAGAAGGTGATCATTAGGGATAAGCAGTCATAACACCAGGAATTGGCAAACTTTTTCTGTGACAGGCATGACAGTGAGTATCTTAGGCTTTGTCGGCTCACGTCTGTGTTGCTGGTGCATCTTACAGTTGCGTAGCTTAGAAGGCCGTCACGGCTCACTGTGCTCCTTCCTGGAGGCCGGAGGGGAGAACCCATCCCCTTGCCTTTGCAGCTTTTAGATACTGCCTGCTGTCCTCGGCTCTTCCCCTTCCTCTATCTTCAAAGCCAGCCATGAAGCATCTCTGTGACCCTGCTTCAGTTCTCACACCTCTTTCTCTGACTCTGACCTATTCTGTCTCCCTCTTCCATTTTTAAGGACCCTTGTGATTACATTGGGCTACCTTGAATGATCCAGGACAATCTCCCTATTTTAGGATCAGCTCATGAGTCACCTTATTTTCATCTGCTAGCTTGTTTCCCCTTTGCCATGTAAAGTAACATATTCAAAGATTCTGGGGATTAGGACATAGATATCTTTGATGGGGGGCATTATTCTGCCTACCATGTCATTCTCAGCTCATGGGCCATGGATTGTTAACTTCTGAGGTATATAATACTGTGATTTCCAAATTTGATATACATATATATATATATATACATATACATATATATATATATATATATTTCCACAGTTGATATATATTCAAAAGGAATTACATTTAGCACCTTAGAACTCAAAATAAGAGGGAGCACATAGAATTCTGTCTGCCCTTCTCATCCAGGGCTGGCATTGTACTGTTTGTGTCCACAGCAGAGAACACGCAAGAATATAACCCAGTGTTACCCAAACTCATTTTCAGATCATGTAACTTGAAAAACTTCTTTTGTCTTCTAGTTATTCTACTTGATGTTGGGCAGAAGCTTCTGTTGATTCAGGTAGATTAATACACCGTATCCCAAATGTCGATTTACTTTCAAATTTTCTTTAGAAATAACTGGTTCTTTTAACAAAACAATATCATTGTGTATCATTACCCTCTGATAGCAGAAGAGATAAGGGTAATTACGTATGTGCCTTACCTGTAATTTTAAAATAAGATTCATGTATTTCTTTTTTGGGTGAGCCTTCTTTCATTTACAGTCCTGCTGTAATATGACATGTGTATTCCTAAAAATCACCATGCTGTGCAAAATGATACAATAAAAACCATAAGGTTTGTAGGAAAAATGGGATTGGGGTACACCACTTAAAACTTCCTCAGTGGCAGTAAGGAGAAAAATGGGAATGCAGTTGACCTTTGAACAGCATGGGTTTGAGTTGCACGGGTCCATTATATGAGGATTTTTTTCAAGAAATAAATTGGAAATTGGGAGATTTGCAACAATTTGTAAAACATTTCTTTAGGTTTATTGTAAGAGTACAGAATGTAATACATATAACATACAAAATGTGTGTTAATTAATTGTCTATGTTACCGTAAAGGCTTCCAGTTAATAGTAAGCTCTGAGTAAAGTTTTGGGGAAGTCAAAGGTTATGTAAACATAGATTTTTGACTGCCTGGTGGTCGGTGCCCCTACCCTGCATTGTTGAAAAGTCAACTGTATAATGAAAGTGGTAAAATACTTTTACACATATTATGTGTCTATACATAAATACTGAGGCAAATATGGCACTTTACATTGAAAAAGGCCTACGTCTTGCTTGTGTAAGTAGGTCTCAAAAGGGTTGCAGCTTTTGAGTTACGGGCAAAGGGGGGTGATCTGAAATTGTGTGGGAAGTTGTGATGTTAGATGCAGATGGGTGTGGCAGTTGTCCTTGTGAGAGGGTGTGTGTGTGTGTGTGCGTGTGTGTATGTATGTCTGTTTGAAGGGACTATTTCCAAGTGGCTCAGCTGGGTATAGTGTAATCTTCTGCTTTCTCATTTTAGGATGAGAGGAGGTGCGTAAGCAATCAAAATCATTGTTAGGCTCAAGTTGTTCCTAGTGTCTCAGTGGCTGGAACAAGTGCACCTTGTCAGAACAAATGTAGCAGTGCTGAAGGTCACCATGGTCCATGGGCAGTGCTCTGAAGGACCTTGCCTGAGCACAAGTCTCTATTATGCTTTTCTTCCTATTTTGCTGTTGTTCCCATGGAAGGCACCTGCCAGTGATGGGTGGCCTTGTGCTCAGGGTGAACACTCAGAATTCTTTACCTGAAATACAGAACTCTTCCAACACACAATTTTCAGAGTTTCAAACCTCCTATTTACTCTTTGGCAAGAAGCTACTGGAGGGGCCTGACAGGAAAACAAGTATACCAAGGAAGAGGGTACAGGAAGTGGGAATGGGAGCAGAGAGGGCTGGGGGGATGCCCCGGGGGCGGCCGGGCACAGAGAGCCCAGGTCAGCCAGCTCCAGGAGAAACACAGGCAGGCGATGACGTGGAGATTGCACGTGACACCTTTGATGTACTGGGGTTTAGGTTGTTAGTCAAGGCTTTAGGCTGGAATTCATATTCAGTACTTAGGCAGTGTAGCAGATGAAAAGGTAGGATAATTTCCTCTAGGAAAAACAGCCTCCCGAAAATTGTGCATAAGGGGAAATGGAAACTTGAATTAACTTATCGGATGGTTCAGCTTGGAACAGCATTGACACAGTTAAAACGTAGCACTCATATTTGGTCGGAATACTGATGTATGTTGGGATGATGGGGAGCGCTGCTGGGGAGGCTGCAGGCCGCGTGGATGGCGGGACGGGAAGAAATAGAATGACATCCTCGTGTTCGTAGTGCGAAGCCAACCCATGGTGCCTACAGTGAAGAGTCAAGGGGAAGCGACACAAATGTGTTAGCGAGAGACTTGAAGAGAAATATTTAAAAATCCTATCAAGAGTTGGAATTCATTGCCTCTGGACTGTTTGTTTATCAGCCTTATGGAATGATTTGAATTTTTTAAGCAATGCGTATGTGTAACTTTACTAGAAGTAAGAAACTGAAACTAAATAGAGTATCTCGCAGAAAAGAGTTAACAGGACAGAGACAAATTCCTGAGGAGCATATAAGCTCCCCTTATGTGTGAAGGAGACCTGCTTGCAAGGTGCCCCTTGGCCGGCCCTGGGAGTTTAGCTTTGGAAAGGGTTCCCACCGTTCCGTAGTAGGAATGGCTCACCCTGCCAACTGTCAACAGTGTGGCTAAGCCTAATACCTGGGAGTCTGGAATTTTGGCACCTGCCAGTGGAGGGTGCTTACATGTCCAGCCCACAATAAAACCTGGGCACCGAGCCTCTAACAAGCTGCCCCCGTGGCAGCACTTCTCCTGTGTTGTCACAGCACATTCCTGGGGGGATTAAGCTCAACCTGGGTAGCTGCACCAGGGGAGACTTGGAAGCTTGCCCCGGGCTCCCCCAGATTTTGCCTTTTGCTCATTTTGCTCAGTGTCCTTTCCCTGTAAGAAATCATAGCCATGAGCACAACTGTACGCTGAGTCCTGGAAAACCTGGCATGGAGATTGGGGAAAGTGTGCGCGGGGAAGATGTCTATATCATCCACAGTGGCTGTGGAGAAATCAACGACCACGTGATGGAGCTCCTCATCATGATCAACGCCTGCAAGATTGCGTCGCCCTCCAGGGTGACTGCCATCATCCCGTGCTTCCCGTATGCCCGCCAAGATAAAAAGGACAAGGTATGAGAGCTGTGTCCTGTTGGAGGAGCCTGCTCCAGGCTAACATCTACATGTCGTTCTCACATATGACCTCCGAATATCTGGAAAAAGCTTTGCTTTCTAGTGTAACGGTTGAGTGAATATGCTTTCTCACCTTGGCTTTTCCAAAGGTTTGGCTTTGAACCAGCCATCATGGTCATAGATATCGAAACAGATAGAACATATTTTTGCAGGTAGTAAAATACCATTATGGTCCTTGTGATGAAATTGTGTGTTTGTGGTGGTGGGGAAAACCAAGTACCCATGCGCACCCAGTGAGGACAAAAAACTGGGCAAGTCAGAAGCAGGTCACTGCATGGTCTCAGTGCCCGTGTCCTCGTGTGGGTTTCGCCTGCGGTTTCGCAGGATGTTACCACGAGGAGAAACTGGGTGACGGGCACAATCGGATCTCTGCGTTGTTTCTTACCACTGCATGTGAATCTACAGTTATCTCAAAATAAAAAGTTTAATTTAAAAAATGGACCATTATCACCATTATCTCTTTTTAACCTCTCAAGAAGAATGACGTTAATATTGCTGAATTATTCTTTTAGCAACCCTCATGCTGTAGGAGGCTCGATGAGTTTCTAGAAGGAATTGAAGAAGAGGAAGTCTGTGCCTTCAGGAAAGATCCAAGAAGTTGGAGTCTGAAAGGAACTTTACATATTACCTCAAACTGACTGGCTTAAAACCACAGAAATGTATTCTCTCACAGCTCTGGAGGTCAGACGTTAAGGGTCGAGGGGTCGGCAGGGCCACACTCCCTCTGAAGACCCTGGGGGAGGCTTCTTTGCCTCTTCCAGTTCCTTGGCTTCTGGTAGCGTCACTTGCGTCTCTGTCCCATCTTCCCCTGGCCTTCTCTGTGGTTCTGTGTGTCCTCTCTTTTCAAAAGGACAGTAATTGGATTTAGGGTCCACCCCATTCCAAAATGATCTCAGCTTCATCTGTGCCTCAGTACATCTGCAAAGACCCCCCCTTTCCAGGTGAGGTCACGTTCTGAGGTTCTGGGTGGACAAGAGTTTTGGGGAGATACCATTCATTCAACCCACTGCAGGGATCAACTCTTAACCTGTCATCTGCATTCTGTCTTAGGAATAGATGTTTGGTCAGGTTCTGCCTGAATCCTAGTTTAAAAGATGCCCTGCTGTTCTGTTGACGTGACTAATTGTGAGAAACGTTTTCCCTGACACACCTCCACTTACCCCCCAATTCATTTTCTGAAACAACACAGATTTCTAAACAGCACACAAGAGCCCTGCATCTCTGAAAAAAATCCCTTTATACATTTGAATTCATGTACCGAGGTCCCCCTACATTTTAATGTCAGCCTCTTCAGGGGTGGTTTCCAGACGCCATGCTGAAAAACAGCTTAGTTAATTTCTCACTGAAAATTTGATCTCCCGAACTCCATTCTGCAATTGAGATATGATTTACCCTATATAGATTAGAAGGGGTCAGCAAGTGTTTTCTGTGACAGGCTGTATGGTCTCTGTGGTTAACTACTGAACTCCAGTTGTATCTCAAGGACAGAGTCTGTGTAAATGAAGGGCATGGCTGTATTCCAATACAACTTTCATTTCTGAACACAGATGTGAATTTCTTAGAATCGTCACATGCCGTGAAATGTTTTTTGAATATACTTTCCAGCTATTTAGTCATGTAAAAACCATACTAGCTCACAAGCAGTACAAAAGCAACTGGCAGGTTCGATTTGGTCCATGGGCCACAGTTTACCAACCCTTGGATTAGAGTATTGATCGGTTGTGTGTGTCTGTCACTTTGTGACTTAGCTTGAGCTAAGGGCAGCTAAAACCTTAGGTCGCACACTACTGTGAAGTATATGACCTCCCCTTTGTTATTTATGGAGCTGCTTTTATTCTAAACTTGATTTGAAGGTTTTGTGTGCATTTTTAGCTGCTAAATTTCAGTTTATTTATTTTGTTTGGTTGATATAGTCTCTTATCTTAGCTATTCCTCTGTGTGTTTTCACAGGATTATTTAGCATCTTCATCCTTGTCGATGTCAGAAAGGAGCTGACATTCTGCTACGGTTCCCCTTCCATATAGCAAGGCGCTTAGTAAAGTCTATATTCTATAATTTGCTAGCAGGTTCTTCTTTCATTTCTAGGAGTTTTTGCACTTGATGCTAAGACACTGAAGCATTGTATCTTCCTGAGTAAATTATTCCATTTATCATTACATGGCCCTTTTTCCCACAGTATAGTGATTTGTAAATTTAACTTCTTGAACTGATAGAAATATTCAGACACCTGCATTTTTTGTTTGCAAGTATCCGATTTGCAGTTACCAAGGTTGCATATGCAAACTTTGTTTCTTCTGTTTATTCATAATGAAGGCTTTGTTGCAAGGAGAACCTGGCACCGATCACCGGCCTGTCTTATGCGTCACAGGGGAGGTGACACACTCTGGCCTCTGGCCTCTAGTTGCCAGTAGTGCCCCCTGCCACTGTGCTAACAGAGAGAGCCTGGAGAAGTTCTTAAAACCCTAGTGGGCTTACCTGTTCTGTGTACCACATGGTCTGACCAGCTCTTGCCTTGCTTTCTGATTGTAGGACATTTAAGTGGGTCTATGTTTGAGGCTGCTTGAACCCGTTTCTTAATTGCTTTGCTGTAAGTGTGTTTCTTGGAAACAACACAGCAGCAGCTTTAAGTTTTTAACCCGATCAAACAATTCCATGATTTTCTGAACTCAACAGCTGATGGAAGAGTAAGACATTCATTGTCACCAACACAGAAGCAGGGTCATGACAACAATTGAGAGATTGCATGAATAGCAACGGAGGGAATCCTGACCTGGGCAGTTGTGTGACTTATTGCTAGAGAAAACTGATAGAGCAGGGCAGTGTGAGCTTCCTATCGCTGCTGTAATAAATCAGTTGGAGGGCCTAAAAGGACAGAAATGTATTCTTGTGGTTCTGGAGGCCAGAAGTCGGAAATCAGGGTGTGGCAGAGTCATACTCCGTCCAGTCCACAGGCTCTAGGGGAGGACCCTTCCTGTGCCTTCTAGCTCCTGGGACCTTCTGCACGCCGTGGCTTGAAGCCACATCCCTCCAGCCTGTGTTTTCACCTGCACATGGCCTGCTCTTGTCGCATCAGATCTCCCTCTCTAAGCAGATGTGGGATAGCATCTTCGGCCCTCCCGGATAATCTCCCAATGTCTGAGCTCTTAACTTAATCACATCTGCAAAGACCGTCTTTCCAGATAAGGTAGCAGTTACATAAATTGGGGGATTAAGCCCTGATACTTTTGAGGTCACCACTCAGCCCACTCCAGGGGCCCTTGAAGGGAGCCATTGATGTTAATAAGTGGATATTTAAAGGACAGTTCAAGCTTGGAGATACTGTTATTATATCATTTGTCATCTAAGCCAGGCCACTGGAGAGCTTGAAAGGGGACTCTATGAATAATTATGCCAGGAAGCACATGTCTCCCCCAACTGTCCTGGACATGTCTGACACATGGCCACCCTTTGTATAGGCCTGTTGCTTTGGAGACCTTGGAAGTACCAAGACATGTAGATTGTTCTGGCAGTCTCACTTCTGACATGTGTATATAGTCAGTGGGGCTGATAATACAGTAAGGAGAGGGACTGTTTCATTCCCTCAGCAAAGTGGCAAAAAGGAAACTCTTAATTTTGTCTGTCATTTGGGGTATGCCTTTGTGTTTTTTAAATAGCTGCTAATAATTTTTCTAACTATTCATTTCTTTCCTTAGATCGAATTGGCTTTGTAATGGAAAACTATTTTGAAGTGAGAGTAACATGGGGTTTAGTAAGCATTTAAAAGAAATGGCCTGAGCCTGTGACCGCACTTCTTTTTCAATGAGGGTGAACCGTGAGGAGACCCAGAGTGATGGCGTGGGGGGGGGGGTGGAACTTCCTCCTTTGGCTTCGCGTGGCTGGGCTAAGGGCCATGTAGTCTTTGAATGTGATTGGAAGTCATGGGCCACACTTGCTCTTTTGGACTCAGAAAGAAAATTCTCCTCTGCTGGCCACAGGAGGAGCCCTGGGCAGCGCCCCCAGGCTTTCTCTTGTCCTTTTCCTTCCCACAGGACTGTATTGCCTGGGATGTCTAAGACAGGGCATGTCTAAGACACAAAGAAACTCTGTGTCGTTGATCTACTTAGAGTTAGCTGCGCAGAAGCCCGGCAAAAGCCAGACCTGCTTAACCATAGTCACTGTCGTTTCATTATTTTTAATCTTACTGCTGGTTTTTAAGCAAGACCTGCACATCTGTACAATTTTATTTTTGGTTTTCTTTGTGTGTACAAGAAACCAGGGACAAGTTCTGACAGTGAAGGAATGGTTTCATCAATTATGACACATCAACGCAGTGTAATCCTAATGTAGAGAAATGATGATAAAGTATTAATTGTAAAACGTGTGTGGTGCATAGTGATCTCAGCTCTGCGATCACTTTGGAATCAAGTGACTCGGGTTTGAATTTCAGTGCCATTATTTACTCAGTTTGTCCTTTGTAAAAGTAGCAAGCTCTTTGTGTCTTTAGTTTCCTCATCTGTAAATTAAGGCCAATATTTGCTACTACAGTTGACCCTTGAACACAACACAGGTTTGAGCTACGTGGGTCCACTTATATGTGGATTTTTTTCAATGAACACAGAACATCAGTAATTGGATATAAGCAGCAGATTCCAGGTAAAGGAAAAAAGCCGCGCACCCTTGGGAAACCACCACCCTGATAGCAGTAGCACCATGGTGTGACCAGCTGAGCTACCTGGCTGTTCTCCGGATGAGAGAGAAATGCTGGGATCTGAGAGGAGCTGAGGGTCAGGCTGGGGAACTCAGGAAGGAAGTAGGAAAACTTTGCCCCTTTAAAGTTCGCCATTTCAACCCCTGGACTGCCCCACCTGCAGGCATGTGTCAGCCCTGGTAGAGACCAGGAGAGTGGCTCATTTCATCCCCCGCTGGCTCTCTCTTCTCTGTTGGACCCTACAATCCTCCCATTTCTTTCCTACTTTTCTGCTCTTTGTTGCATCTGAAGTTAACTGAGCCATTATATATACAGTTGGCTAGTGGTAGTTAAGTTTTGGGGGACTCAGAAGGTCACGGCAGATTTTCAGCTCTGGGGGTGGCGGGTGTCAGTGCTTCCAACCCCTGAGTTGTTCAAGGGCCAACTGAATTTATAAAGCCCTTAGCATGTAATACAGTAATGGGCAGACTTTTTCCAGACAGAGCCAGGTGTCAAATTTTGTAGGCTTTGTGGACCACCAGGTCTCTGTTGCAATAGCTCAACTCTGCCATCGATGTGAAAGCAGCCATACATAATAAGTAAATGAAAGGAGGGGGTCTGTGTTCCAAACAAACTTATTTACAGATGTTGAAATATGAATTTCATATACTTTTTAAATGTCACAAAATATTGTTCTTTTGATTGTTTTCAACCACGTGAAAACATAAAAACCATTCTTAGCTTACAGGTCGTACCAAAACAGACCCTGGGCTAGGTTCTGCCCATGGGCCACAATTCACTGCCACCTGCTACAGTGGACGCTCAGTAATTGCTAGTTTCCTTATCTGGTAAAAACAGTGTGATGTGGGCAAGGCTGGAAAAAATTATTTCTCAGGGAGTCGAGGACTTGTAGCTTTTTTCAAAATCATTTTCAAGGTTATATTCCCTTCTCAATGATAAAATTGTTTCTTTCTATTTCTTAACTGGAAAAATTGAGGACAGATGTCCTGACATGAATTTCTACAATTTTATGCATTTTTAAAGCTTGTCAAATTTACATTTTTAGCTGGGCTGCATCTGATAATTGAACAAGATCTAGACTATCCAGAGAGTATTTGTGGCGATTGGGCTGGCTCATAAAACGGTTGACCTTTATCTGTTTTTCATAGAGCAGTCAGACATTCTCCTTTTGGTTATTGTACCTTACCTCTACCTTTGTTGAAATGCAATCCTGTTTTTTCTTTTTATTGGCTGAAAAATCAGTTAACCTGTAAATCACTTTTCCTGTAAGATTCATTCGGGTATTGAGCCAAACTATGAAATAAGAGTACAAAAACCAAATTTGTAAACATGGTCTGAAGAAAGTATTCAGGAAGTATGAATTTAGAAACTGCCACTGTGGTTTAGATCTCAGAAGTAAAAAATGCTCAATGCCACAGAGAGATGAAAATGGCACCTTTTTACCAGTTATAAAATTAGAGGAAGGGCCGCATATTGATTAACGTTGCGAGTCAGATTCTATTACAAAGAAGTCCCCGCAATCAATTTGTTCTTTCAGTTACCCTGGAGTTTTGTTAGACTAAATAACTCTCACATTCACAGAGGCTAATGACTAAGCCTTGGAACCTTGCTGTTACAGAGGTTCTGTTACTAAATGTTTATCCAAGAGCCAAAATATGCAAGGTACAGAGCTGTGTGCTACACATGACATGACCATCTCCCGAAGCAGTTATATGTCCTTCAGGGACACATCGTTTAGTTGTGAACCTGACATCTAATATATCTCCTGACGTCAATCTTTCAGCAGGTGGCATAAGTGGTCATAAATGGTGGGGAAGAAATGCTTAGCCAATGCTGTGTCCCTTTAGAAGGGATAGATCATTTCTCTCTGGAGTTCTCGGAGTGCCCTAAAGTTTGGAGATTTGAATCAGATCTGGAGGGTGAAACTCATTGGCTCAGCAGAGATGGGGGTGGAATGGGGCAAGGTGGGCCTGTGGATGTAGACAGCAAGGCTTAAAGTGTTCTTTAGAAGAGGGAGAGAGCAGGCCCAGTACAGACTGCAGGGGTGGGACCAGCTCTCAGTAGCTAGAGCCAGACTGGCCGGAGGGCTTGTTATCCCAGCGGAACCAAGGAACGGAACAGGGGAGTTTAATGATGAAAACAAGCTGTAATATGTAGTTAGTTGAGAAGGTTGGAAAGTGCAAAAAAAAAATTAGAAAAGTATTTCTCCATAATCTCACTTTCTAGTAACATCTGTTAATATTTTGGAATGTTTCCTCTCAGTCTTTGTGTGTTGGGAAAATGTGTGTATATACGTATGTATATTATAAAGTAATAAATGTTTCTCTTTTAAAAAATATGGTCTATTAGAGAAAATACAAATCTGTAACACTGTGAAATAATTCATTCCTGTGTGTGTTTTTATATGAATATACTGTGTGTGTGTGTGTGTAACAGGTGGTTTATTTGTTACTATTTTGAGTGAAATCTTTTATTTTTCAGCTTTATTGAGATATAATTGACATATAACATTGTGTGAGTTTGAATAAAATCTTTGAAGCTTATATTTTCTTTTTTGTTGCTGGTTATAGGGAATACTGTTGTTTATATTGGAACTCTTCCTAGGTCTAATCATGTCTGTATCATTTCTTAAATTTCTTTTTTGATGTGGACAGATTTGTTGTCCATAATTTATGACGTGGAAGCTAAAGCTTCTAGATAAGTTAGGTAACCTTGAAGAGGGTCCAGTGTCAGGAAACCTGAAAACAATGCATCTGTTTTTCTTTATAGCAAATTATCAGTCACCTTAGATGTGCTTTCTGGGATCTGGTTTTTGTTTAATTTGTAACAGCATGCAGTACCTAAACTCTTCTTTAAGAGCTGGCCTTGGCCTTCAGGACTCTGTAGGATGTTCCCCTGCCTCCCTTCAACATACCCTTCTGCTCTCTTCCTGGACCACTGCCTGTAGCCATGCTGGACCACACGCGGTGCCTGGTTGTGATCTCCAGGCCTGAGGGATGTCACTCGTGCTGCTCTTTCTGGAATGCTCGTCCCCCAGCTGCTGCTGGCCTTGCCTTCAAAGCAGTTTCCTCCGAGGGGTCTCTGACAGCTAGTCTCTTTGAACTTGATGTCCTTCATGCTAGTGCCTCTCTCTCCCAGTACCTATATTCTACATCCTTGTCATGATTAGAGCGATATAAATTGTGATATTACATGTATATATATATATATGTTTGCTTCTTTGATATTTATTTGTTCTTTATACCTAGTGTCAAGCACACAGTCTCACAACAGTATATGTAAGTTGTAAATATTTGGTGACTAAAATGGAATGGATATCTTTTGTTGTTATAATATGTAATTTTCTTCATTTTTATTAATAATTAAATAATTTAAGTTACTAAAGTAGCAAATAATTTAATAATTTAAAATTATTAATGTTAATTTTCCTTAGTAACAGGTAATAAATGAATCTGTGACTTATCTTTGTCATGTAAATCTTAGCGGAAGGAGTCTAAACGTATCCATGTCTTCCTGTTACAAAGTCCACGTCTTTATTTTTTAGAGTCGTGCTCCAATTTCTGCAAAACTTGTGGCCAACATGCTCTCGGTTTCTGGGGCGGATCACGTCATCACCATGGACCTGCATGCCTCTCAGATCCAGGTTCCGGCATTTTCTTCTTTGCCTTTGGTTGTGATCGGAATTAATGCAAGTGGTTAAATCCTAACTCTCTGTTAAGTCAAGTTATTTTTAAGAAGGTAACATTACTCGTGTTTCAGTTTGTATGGCTCCCTGGATTTATTTCCATCTTTACTGAACTTGGAAATGTAATTTAATGTTGATATTGCCTGTCTCCACCACCACCTCGCCTCCACTCAGTTTTGGAAGTGTGGGAATGGCCTCTTGGTAGTAAACGCTATAATCCCATCTCAACTTCTGGAAAATTATTAGAATGGCAGAGTTGTAGTGGGTATTTTTTAGACCTCTTCATAACTGAGTTCCTTCATCTGTACAACAGGCCGAATCATGCAGTACTTACTCTGTGATATAATGAATGTGAAGTATTTGGCTTATAATAAGGGGCTTAAGAAACAGCAAACCTCTTCTCCCCCACTGCCCTGCAAAGCCATTCTCTATTCCTTAGAATATAAGTGATCGTAAAATAATAGAATGGGTCCCCAAGGATAATGGATTGGACTAAAATATGCTCCTGGAACATATCTGTCTCTTGATTTAATTCTGCTAAGACTAAGAAAAGGGAGTGTGGTGAAAAGGCTGCTTTGAGTACAAAAACTCACATTTAATTTAATAAAAGAGATGAACTTATAAAAAACTCCGCAGTGTGACCATCATTTCTCGCCTTAGGGGTTCTTTGATATTCCTGTGAATAGTGCAGTCCTGCAGTGGATACGGGAGAATATTGCCGAATGGAAGAACTGTATCATTGTCTCACCTGACGCTGGTGGAGTCAAAAGGTGCAGTGCAGGCTGCGTGGTGCAGTTTCCCGCCTTGCCACTTCCTATGTGTTAGATAAGGAAGCATGGTTGGAATTACATACACCGTATTTTGCAAAAGAACGGGTAAAGGGACCACAGACTTCTACCCCAGAGCAAAGAGGTGTCACCTTGTTAAGACATCATTATTCATGAAAGAAACATACACACACATATTTGTTTTCAGCAAAGAGTGTTTTATTTGAGGGTTTTATTGTTATTTTTTATGATAATGAAAGTACAGCTTCATTGGGAAATAAGTCAGTTAACAACAAGATTGGGTAAGCTAGTCCTTTCTATAAACACTTGGCAGTGAAAGCTAAAATGGAACAGTATTTTAAAAAAGAAATCTGTGTCTGTAGAGCACCAAGACAGAAAGGGAAATATCTGGGGTCCAGAAATAAACAAGGGTTGAAGGCCATGCTTGGGTGGCCTGGGTGGGGGTGGGTGGGGGGGTCCAGTCTGGTATCAGACCCAGGAAGAGGCTGAGACTTGGGTGTTAGCACCCACCCTGGGGTCTCCAGAGAGAAGGGACATGAAAGTTAACCTGTCCCCAGCAGGGCAGTGGGAAAGCCAGTCTTTACCCTGGGTGGGGGGAAGGAAATAGCCACCCATAAGAAGTCAAACCAAGAGCATGTGCCACGTGCAGCTGTGTGATGGAATCTGAATTCTCCCTGTGGTGTGGGAATCCCTGTGCTGCGAAAATTGACGTAAAAATTGGTCCCAGGCTGTGGAGCCACTGCAGCGGGAGGACCCCCAAGCCCAGGTGCTCAATAAGCAATCCTTGCTGAAGGTGACCTCGTGTCTAATGATCCAAGTTAGAAAACCGAGAGGGCTCAGCCCACCCAGGCCAACATCTGCAGATAACAGGGTGGCCGACAACCAGCACCTTGGGGTGACAGAACAATTGCTAGACTATGAAATTGCTAAACTGGACAGAAACTGGCATGGCACTAAGAGTGTCAGAATGCAGGCCTGCTGAATGGCATGAGAAAATGGTGCTGAGCAGCGAATCTGGAGGGCTTTGCAGAGACTCAGGGAATTAAGGAACCATCAGTACAGAGTTCAGGATGAAGGGTGACCGATATAGAATGCCGATTTGATAGAGTGCTTTACCGTAGGCTGCGACTTGATGACTCAAAGTGACCTTGTAGAACTGTGCAGCAGCCGTCTAGGAAGGGAAACAGGGTGGCATGGAGATTTAGTGCGCAGGTCAGGGCCTCCCTCAAGAAGGGAGAGGTAAAGAAACCTCTGTCCACCAGTCCAGTGCGAAAGTAAGGAAGCTGGTAAATGTATGCTAACAAATGTGCGGTGAGAGTGATCAGTGACCCAGAGACCTCAGGATGTCTTTAAAATGCAAATGCCCTTCCCTCATTTGGCTACCTGATCCCCTGCAGCCCAGCTAAGGACCTAGAATTGAACTTAAAAGCTTAGGAGCAGCCCACAGAGGGGAGCAGAGGTCCCAATTGTTAGAAGAGCCCCATTGTGTCCTAAGCTGCTGTCTTAACCGCTTAGGGTCCCAGCGCAGAAGGGGAAAGAATGGGGTCAGCTGGAGATGGGCCTCCGACAGCAGTAGGAAGTGGCTGTTGACAGGAAGGAGTCACAAACGTATAAAAGCCAGAAGCACAAATGTAACTTGCAAAGACCCCCACCTGGCAATGACAGGGTGGGGAGAAGCCCGGTGTCATAGCCCACAGCCAGACTTCTGGGTCGAAGTACACTGAGTATTGCCTGCTTAAGAAGATGCAGGAATGTGAGCAGCATTTGGGAGTAATTTCCACTGGAGAGGCGTGCAGTTTACTAGGAAACTTACTGGAAGTCACACAGTGGAATCTGCCTTCACACGTGGTGAAGTCCCCCGGCCTCACAGAAGGTTAGAGGTGAGCAGCGCACTAACTTCTTTGCGATGACAGCTTCATTGAGAGAGAATTCACATACCTACGTTTCCACCGCTTTGAGTACACAGCTCGGTGGTTTTTTGGGTATCCACAGGGGCGTGCACCCTTCACCACCCTCTAATTCTAGTTTTCCCCTACCCCGTTTGGAACCTACGCCCCCCAGCGGCCACTCCCATTCCCTCCCCCTGGCCCCATCCTGTGTCTGTGGATCGCCTCCCTGGACCTGTCAGAGGGACGGATCGTACAGGACGTGTCCATTGTGTCTGGCATATTTTTTTTATCATAAAAAAAATGACTGGCAGCGAATAAGCCAAAGGAATAAGAAATTCCACAAACTTGTGTGGCCTTTTCTTTTCCTATCCCAACATGATTTTCTACATAATGGCATCTAAAAATATCTGTACTCAGGCTAATGTCTCCCATTTCCTTCTGTAGACACTGCTATTCTTCCCGATGTCAGAATCATGTTATTCAAGCATATTCGTCCCTTTTTATTATATTGAAGTGGGAATGTGCTATACACACTTCTTCACCTGGCTTTGACAAGAACTTACTTGCTCCATCTTAGCAAAGATTCCAGAGCCGTGAAGGTCAACTTTCCTGTTTTTACAGCTGGTACTATTCTGGTGTGTGTCTATGTCCTGATTTCCTTTAGCGGTTCCTGGGGTCCTCGCTTGGGGCCACTGTTGTTCGTACTTGTGAACGGTCCCGCAGCACCACGCTCCCCTTCCCGTTTTGTATACATGAGCAAGTAGGGTGCGCTCCTAGAAGGGCTGTTACCGAGTCCAAGGGCATGAGCCGTTTCGGTTTTCATGAACGGTGCCCCAACTTCTGTTCCAGAGAGAACAGACCAGTTGACACTCCCCAGCATGGGTGCCAGTGCCTGTCCACCCAGGCTGTCTCCCACAGTGCCTGATCAGACTTTGTTCACTTTACCGATCCGGTAAGTGACATATGGAATCTTTTCCTGTTAATTCTAGTTGCCGTGGATGAGGTCAAGCACCCCTTCCGGTATGCTCATTTTCCCTGAGGTCCGTTCATACTTTTTGCCTATTGTTCTCTTGGCTGGAGGCCTTTTCCCCTGGATTGTTAGGAGTTCTGTGCAGACAAGGGTCACATCTTTGTTTTGTGTGTGCGCGTGTGTATGTGCACATGTGCTCCAAATATTTCCCCAAGTTTTTCATTTCTTCCCTTTGTATATTTTTATTCACTGCAGGACTTTTAAAACATTCTATGTAGTTATATTCATCTCTTCTTCACGTATGACGTCTGAGTTTATGAAGTATTCATCCTTAACATTTTTCATCTCCCATGATTTTCTGTATTTTAAGGGTTACCTTATCCCTTTTATGTTCCAATTTTTTTCCCCCTCTGCTATTTGTTTTGGAATAAAGAGTGAAATAAGAATCCAACTCTTCCCTCACCCTCCACTCTCTAGTTGTCCCAGAACTGTTTATTAAATAATCCATTTTTGACTCTATTGACTTGAACATCATCTTTATATTACATACCAAGTTTCCCCATCTCCTTGCTAACCCCTGCCTTAAAAAAATGCAGAGTCAACGAACCAGAGTAAGTGGCCAGTGCTGAGATGCTGTTTTGTTCAGATTCCCTTCAAAGCAGTCCTGCTGGACCACCCTGCACCCTCTGCTAGGGAAGGCAAACTTTTTCGGGGCTGAGCATTTCAGATTTTCTGCCACCTCCTTTCTTTTTCCCTGAAGTTCCTGTTTCCCATTGTTGTCATCCTCAGATTCTGGAGTAGGCTAACTGGAAGAGCAGCCTTGCAGGTAACACGTGATATGTGCAGTTGGCATTACCTGGGGCTTCTTTGCTTGATGCAAAAAGTCACATTTCACCAAAGAAAATCCCCATCTGGCAAATTGGAACTTGTGGCATTAGAAAAAGCTTTGAGGCTTGACTCCGTCCTGGTAGAACTTAATATCACCACAAGAGGTCACTCTTCGGCAGTCTTTGGCGCTTGATTGGGTTGATTCAACCTTTGACGGAAACACACTTTCTGCTCTTGAGATAATCAATGTGAACATAAAACTGGTGGGAGAGGTTGGTGAAACTAAATAAATCGTATTTAACTTTTGTCATTTTTCTTTTGGAAAGAATGTCAACATGTATCTGGAATAAATGGAAATCAAACTATGTATTATTTTTGTTCCAGTTGTTTCCACCTAAGATTTCTGTGTGATACTTTGTCTGAACATCATTTGTTAGGAATATGTACTAAGTTTCAGCTATATAGAGGGAAAAGTTATGGCCTATTCTGGAATAGGAATGTTCTAGCAACCCTGGGGCTTTTTGCAGGAGTATTTTTCCCCTGTATTTCCTGCTTCTGACATTACCATTGGGTACCTGAAGTGACTGGTACTCCCCACTCATGTCCCGTACCTTCCCCAACCCTGCCACACACACCTCAGCATCTTTCCCGCACAGGTTACCACCCAGGCCTCCAGGCCCTCCTGCTGGTCTCTTTCTACACAGGTTTAGGAGAGCAGGGATCACCTGGCAGAGGTGTGAGTGCAGGTTATGCTTGGACTTCACAGGCCTAGGACTTCAGGCACAAGTGGCAGTGCTTCCGAGTGTGGGGCTCTGAGCCAGGACCTTACCATGCGACATCATCCTGGTCCTTACAAATAAATACCAAATATAATAGACATGCACATTGTATGTAAAGTGGTCAAGAGTGTTTTCTTGGGAAAACCTGTCTTGAGTTCTGAGAAACCAGCTTTCATTAACTGAAGCTTAAATGGCTTATCTTTTGTGAAACTGGCATGTAGATAGTAGTATATGTTTTATGGTGATTAGGGGGCAAAATTTTTGTCAGCATTTAAACTGATTTTCTTTCCTCAAATCCTTAAGTGAGGAAATCAGTGGTAAATAGATTTAGAAACAAATAGTGTCTTCCAGAGGGACTTGGCTTTGGTTCTAGGTGGAAGGATGATTTTTTTCCAAGGGTTGGAAGGACATGAGCGTCATCACAGTAATGCTACCTTTTGCTTCCAGGGACGCTGGAGATCTGAAACAGGTGTCTTACCCTCTTATCTAACAGTCTTTGTCTTTAACTGGAAAGTTTGACCCCTTTTTCATTATGATTACTGACATAATTTAGATTTGTGACCACCATCTTTGGGGCTTTAAAGCTGTTGTCCAGTCTAGTTATTTTCTTCTCCACAGCACATTAGAAATTATTTTTATTATTTGTCCCTATACTGACCAATACATCTCAGCGTATCTGTTATCACTTATCACTTCCCTTTTGCTTAAGTTGTATTGTTTCGAATTTCCTTAAGTGGTTGTATGTTGGAAATGAACTATCAAGTTGTATGATTTGGTGGAAAATATCTTTATTTTGCCTTTGTTCTAGAAAGGCAGCTTTGTGGATATAGAATCCTAGCCTGACGATTATTTTCTCATATCACATGAAGATATTACTGCTTTAACTTCTGGCTTCTGTTGACATTGAGAGTTTGGCCATCAGTTTGATTGCCATCCCTGTCTAGGTGACCTGTCCTCATCCTTTGCCTCTTTTAAGATTTCTAGGTCTGCTTTAGTTTTATTATAGTTGCTTGGGAATTCATTTGCTAGGCTTATTGGATCAGAGGATTGGTATTTTCCAATAATTCTGGAGAATTTTCACTGTCTCTTGGAACATCGCCTCTTTCTTGTTCTTTTATCCCCTTCTGGACCTCCAGTTTGTCCTGTCACCTTGTCCCTCTGTTCTTCATGTCTCTTAGCTTCTTTTTCATGTTTTCTCTCTTTTGTCTCTTGGGCGGCATTCTGGACAGTGTCTTCATCTATACTAACTCACTGATTTTCTCTTCAGGTATATTTAATCTGTTTAGTAAGTTTTTAATTTCAAATATAGTATGTTCCATTTCTAGAAATTCTTTTCCTATCCTCAAGTCTTGACAGCTCATTATTTATATAGTCCATTCATTCTTATCTAAGCTTCTGTTCTACTTCTTTAAAACATAGAAAACAATCCTTGTTTTCATCACACATGTCACAGGAATTTGGATGAACAACCCTCAGAAGAGCCAACGTGTGGTTTACAACACTTGAGAGGGAACTGACCCCCTCTGCTCACTGTGCGGGTGAGACAGGCAGGCATCCTTCCTGTCCCCATCTGGGCAGCAGGCTTATTTTTCCCTCCTCATTATTCTGAAGGGATAACCTTTGGCGTCCCTGAGTTACACAGGGTCTCCTCTTAGGCTCCTGTTTCAGCCAGCCCGCCCCAGGCTTTCTCTCTCACCTGCATGTCTCTGTCATCAAAACAGAAGCTCAAGTTCATTTAGGGCTTCCCAGTACCCTCTGGGCAAGAATTTAGCTGCAAGCCAGCTTCTCAGGACAATGTACTTTCACACTGTCTGCCTGAGGATTGCCGTTCCCACTCCAGCTCAGGGATGCATTTAGGAAGGTATTTCCCTTTGTAATCTGGCACTGTACTTGTTTCCATCAGGAAGGGCAGCCAGGAGGCCTAGCCTGCCACGGTACCAAAATGCAACTCTAAAATGGCATCTGGAAATGGGGCTTTTTTTAAATTAAAGTATCATTGATATACAATGTTATGATGGTTTCAGAGAAACAGCACTGTGGTTTCATCATTCACACATGTTATCAAGTCCTCACCTCCCCTATTGCAATCACTGTCCATCAGCATAGTAAGAGGCTATAGTCATTACTTGTCTTTTCTGTCCTGTATTACCTTCCCTGTCACCTACTTATATTGTAACTGCGAATTATAGTGCCTCTTAATCCCCTTGTCCTCCCCCACCCGCTCTCCTCCCTCTCCCCGTCTCCCTTGGTCACCACTAGTCCCTTCTTGGGTTCTGCGAGTCTGCTGCTGTTTTGTTTCTTCAGTTTTCCTTTGTTCTTATACTCCACAGATGAGTGAAATCATTTGGTACTTGTCTTTCTCCACCTGGCTTATTTCACTGAGCATAATGTCCTCCAGCTCCATCCATGTTGTTGCAAACGGTAGGACTTGTTTTCTTCTTATGGCTGAATAATATTCCATCATGTATATGTACCACATCTTCTTTATCCATTCATCTACTGATGAACACTTAGGTTGCTTCCATTTCTTCGCTATTGTAAATAGTGCAGCGATAAACATAGGGGTGCATACGTCTTTTGAATCTGAGAACTTGTATTCTTTGGGTAAATTCCTAGGAGTGGAATTCCCGGGTCAAATGGTATTTCAATTTTGAATTTTTTGAGGAACCTCCATACTGCTTTCCACAATGGTTGAACTAGCTTACATTCCCACCAGCAGTGTAGGAGGGTTCCCCTTTCTCCACATCCTCACCAGCATTTGTTGTTCTTAGTCTTTTCCATGCTGGCCTTTACAAGTGAGACCTGACTATTTCATTATCTTGAGTGTGATTGGTTACCACATTCCTAAAATACAACTTTAAAGAACAATAGGTTTTTTTCCCATTGACTGTATTTAACCTGCCTAATTGTGTCTTTGTGCAGGGTCACATCCATTGCAGACAGGTTGAATGTGGAATTTGCCTTGATTCACAAAGAGAGAAAGAAGGCAAATGAAGTAGACCAGATGTTTCTAGTGGGCAACGTGAAGGACCACGTGACCATCCTTGTGGACGACAAGGCTGATACGTGTGGCACAATCTGTCACGCTGCAGACAGGTACAAGGGCCACTTTGGGAGAGGGTAAGGACATCTCATTAGGAAAGGAAAGAGCACTACCTTTTAAAGATTGGGCCCATTTTTCCTAATTATTGCTGTTTGCTTGGCAATGGGCTTTCAGGCTAAAGGGAATTCTAGGCCCATTTAGTTTTCCTTGGTACGCATAAACCCCATGAGCCTTCATGGCCTGGTTTTCATTTTCAAGGTTGAGCTTTCAGTGTATTTTGCAAAGGGTTAGAGAAGCTGCTTCCTCTAAAACTGAGCACAGAAGGACAGAGACAATACTGCAGCTTCTTCAGGCCCTTGCTTCCTTCTGCTCTGTCGTCACTCCAGCCGTGTCAACCAGTGGCTTCTGGAGGCTTTAGAGCTGGGCTGTGCCGAGTGGGAGCCACCGCCCAGCCAGGAGTGGCTGGGGAGCACTTGGGATGGGGCCCGTCTGATTTTACATGTGCTGACAGCAAAAGATGCATACCAGGTTTCAAAGATAATGTGGAGCAAAGAATGTAAACTATCTCATCGATAATTTTTTATATTGATTCTATGTCAAAATGGTGATATTCTGGCTTTATTGGTTTAAACCAGTGGTTCACAACCAAGGGCAGTTTTGCTCCCTGGGGGACATTTGACAGTGTCTGGAGATATGTTTTGGTGTCACCGCTGAGAGGAAGGGTGTTGTGTGGCTAGTGGGTAGAGGCCAGGAGTGACACACAACAAAGAATTACCCAACGCCAAGGTCGCTCATCCCTGGTTTAATGGAGTGCAAGGCGCTTTGCCAGTGTATACCTTAATAGATCCTCTTTTAGGCTAATAAATGTGAGTGAAATTGATTTCATGACTTCCTTTATGGAACACAAATTTTGCTTCTAAATTCACACTGAGGGGAGAATGCTTCAGTAATATTCGCATGCACATAATTTTTTGTGTCTTCTGTTTTACACAGGCTCCTCTCAGCCAGAGCCACCAAAGTTTATGCTATTCTTACCCATGGGATCTTCTCTGGGCCAGCTATCTCCAGAATAAACAATGCTTCTTTTGAAGCTGTTGTTGTCACAAACACAATTCCACAAGAGGAGAAAATGAAACACTGCTCCAAGATTCAGGTACTGTCTCCACTGCCGGCAGAACCAGGCAGCACCTACCTCAGATCCTGAAAAACAACACTGAGTGTCCTGTGTGTGACTGCTTGCTAAAGCACATGTTGGCAGAGGTTGCCGCTTCTCATAACGTGAGGGTGTGACTGTCGTCAGATCTCTGAGAAAGGCCAGGGCCCGGCAGAGGTCAGAGTTCAAATAGGAAGTGAATAAAACCAGTGGAAGAACAGTAACAAACAGGCTGTGCTAAAGTTAAACAGAATGACCATATGGCCCAACCAGCCCACTCTGCATATATACCGCCAAATTTGGAAACAGGTGTTTAAACACAACTGAATACAAATGTTCATAGCAGGCCAAAAGGTAGAAACAATCAACTGTCCATCGGCAGATGGAAGGATAACCAAAGTGTAGTCTATCCATACAACGGAATATTATCCAGCCGTGAAAAGGAAGGAGATTCTGACACATGCTACAACATGGAGGAACCTTGAGGATATTATGGTAAGTGACATAAACCAGACATGAAAAGACAAATACTATAGGATTCTGCTTATCTGAGGGACCTCGTGTACTCAAATTCATAGACACGGTCCAAGGTGGTGCCAGGGGGTGGGGGGCTGGGGAGTTGTTTCAGGGGGACAGAGTTACTGTTTGGGATGATGAAAAAGCTTTGCCAACAGATAATAGTGATGGTTACACACACTGGGAATATAATTAATGCCACTAAACTGTATACTTAAAATAGTCAAAGTGGCATTTTGTAATTGTATATATGTTTTACCACAATTTACAACAACTGGGAGGAAGAAAAGTAGCAGTAGGCTATACTAAGGATCAAGCTTTGCCCCTTCCCGCCCCGGCTGACCCGGGAGGCAACCAGAGCATCGGTGATAATTACTTCACACCAACCGACCTGTAATAAGTTGAAAGGGGTGGAGCCCCCATTTTGCCTCTGTCATGGTGAGCCCTGGCGAGTCATTTCATCACTAGACACCTCCATTCGCACCTTAGGGCATGAAGATGGATCACAGTGATCTGCTTCACGATCTCTAATCCACTGGAGACCAATGCAGTTCATTGGCCACAAGGACATGGGTTTGAAAATAGTCCCAGTAGCCGTGGCTTAGATTTTCCTGCCTGATCAGCAGTAGTTGAGAGTCAGCTAACTATGGCCCACAGGCCCAATCTGGCCAACCATCTGTTTTTGTAAATAAAGTTTTATTGGCACACAGCCACCCCCTCTCATTTATGTGTTATCTATGGCTGTGCTCATGCTACAATGACTGAGTTGAGTCTGGTCTGCAAAGCTGAAAATATTTATTACCAGGCCTTTTACAGAATAAGTAGTTTGCTGACCCCTAAGTTAGATGATCCACAGCTGTGCTCTTAAACAACAGTCACTGTGTTTGGAGTCTAAGAGAAAAGAAAACCCTCTATATGATGATTGAGTTAAGACTAATTTAAAAACAACAAGTGCCCCAAGAAAAGGGTATCCCTGGTAAAAGTGGCCCTGAAAAGCCTTTGAGTATCTGTGCTGAAAATCTTGCTCCCAGGATTCCATCTAGGTTTGTAATTTGAAGATAGACTGAAAATTGCCATCCTCTCAAAAGAAATAGGTGTGGGAAGCCTTGATAGCTGCATGTCTCATGCTGGAGAAATTGCTTCTAGGCTTTATAGCTTTTAAATTTTTAATTAAACATGACTAAGATGTCCCACTTTCCTCTCCCCTTTTCTGTTTTTTCTTTGGTGTTAAGGTTATTGACATTTCGGTGATCCTGGCCGAGGCGATCCGAAGGACACACAATGGTGAATCTGTCTTACCTGTTCACCCACGTCCCACTATAAATCCAGGACGTGTGGCACAAGCCCGCTCTGGCTACTGACTTGTGTGCATTTATCTGATTTTTTAATTTTAGGACTCAGCAATTATAGCATAACGCAAAAGCAGCAGATCTTCGTACACTCCAAGAGCCATTGCTTCCCCCTTCTAAAGCTCAAGACTGTTTATTTCCAGTTTGGGGGGTGGTATTTGATCTTTAAGTGAACTACCTTAAATGAGAAATGTTCTTGTCATCTTGACTTGTTCTAATAGGTGACTTTTTTCTTTTGTCAGTACTTTGAAGCCACAGCTTTCAAGTACATCATTCCATTGTGGAAGTTCATAGTTTATATATTTCGGGGTTGCCAAGGGTGACTTCAGATTAAAGCCTTCTGTGTAAATATATAATGATCATGCCTATGCACATTTGGGTAAAACCCTACACAAAATTAGCCTTTTACCTCTGAGTGAACCTTAAAAACCTTATAATACCCTGAATTTTGAATACATTTTTAGTAACCAAGTTATTGTGCTTAACTTGGACCAAATTTTATGTAGCTTAAGATGGCCACTGACACTTTTTTTTGGTGAATATTAGACATATCAGAGGCAGTGTAATTCAGTATAGTTTTTTAATTGCCACTTCTGAAAATCATGTTATAACTATCACTTACCTGAACTGTCATGTTCTAGAATTCCAAAATTATGTTCAGTGATAGATCTGATTTTAGAAATTGTTTGGAGGTAGTCTCCAAGCTCACTGTCACAGTCATGTTCTCCTCTGTCCATCCCAGATGGACAGTTCTTTGAGCTACACCTCACATCCTGCCATCTTAGATGTTCTCTTATGTCCTGTTTATAGCTCTAGCTTTTACTTTATCTGTTTTCCAGTAATTTCACCTTACAGATTTCCACGAAAACACTCTTCTAAATCCCCTCAAGTTTATTAGCCTGATCATTCATTTGCTCCAGACATAATGAAAGAGTGAATTTTTGTGAGTGCCATGAAATGCATATTTAAACGTTATTTCCTTAGTTTTAATTTAATGTTCCTTTGCCTTTTGTAATCAGAAGTGGCAAGTCTCCTAGGCAACCGATTATTTTAACTAAAGCTGTTACATGAAAAATGTGGGTAAGAAATGCCCACAAAAAAGTACAAATAAATAAACATCATTTGCATCATTAAGATAATGTTCAAATGGTGGCTCAAGAGTCCTCATGGAGGAAGATTGATCCACAAGATGCCCCTTGACAATGCCCTCCTGAGTGAGCTACCTCCCGGCCCCACAGCAAGGCAAGCATTGACTTGCTGTGAATTTTATTATTTGCATATTGCTAGACAACCAGCTGAACTCTTCAGCCCCCAAAGAAGAGAGTTTGCCTGCAATCTTTTTCCCTTCTTCTGAATCCGAAAGAGAATAAATTCTCTGATCTATACTGAGCAGGTGGAAAATCAAATCAATTTAAGTCATTAACAAACTTGAATAGCAGTCTTTAAGACTTGAAACTTCACTATAGCAGAGGTTGAATTGAAGTTAAAGAGCAACATTTTAGTCATTGAAAAACTAGCATTTTGCTGTACTTAACATGACTTCTGAGAAAAATATATAGCCTGGTAAAGTCAGCTATTCAATACAGATGGACTATATCTATGAAGAGCTGAGCTGCGATATTTGAAGAGCCTATTAAGATGTATGAAATGTTTGTTTTTCATGAGTGAACACTACCTGTTTCTTGGAATTTCTATGCATAGAGAAAAAATATAGTTATGAACCCCCATAAGTAGACAGCTTGGCATACAAGGGTAAACAAGTTGACATCACTAAACCCAGTTGATTTGAAGGTAATCATTTCATCAAAGATGTATAGTATAAAATACAGAACTAGTTTTATAATAATGAGCCCTGGATTAAAAAAAAGATTGTAAAATCTGTATTGTCATTCTCTGAATTAAGAACTGATTGTTTTTATCTTGTAACTTCACTGATGCATTTATCAACTCATTAGAGTGGACCTCACCATACACAGTGGCAATGTAGATCTTAACTAATTTGTGGTTTCAGTTCAGTAGGCATGATGAAGACTGCCTCAAGAGCAGCTTGACCCCCGAGCCTGCACATCCCCTGCTGCTCTTAAGTGAAGTCACCAAATATATTGCTCCTCTCCAACTCTGCTGAGTGGGGCTAGACTCGGCATCTATCTAGCCAACAAGGGGAGCCAGAGAAATATAAATATACCAAAGTTGCTCAGCCTCCAACTCAAATTATATTAATAAACTTATAGATATTCCTGTTGTAACTTTGTCAGCTATGACGTCAACTCAATTCAGGAATTTATCATTGGCCGTGCTTATGTTGGGTTGGGGAGAGGATTTTAAGATCTTCTAACACTGTACTACAACATTTCAATAAAACCATGCCACTTCTTTCCTTCATAGTTCGTATCATCATTGTGGAGTGATGTGTTTTGATGGAGTGATATGTTGAGGGAGTGCCTGTAAGTGTTTGCTACGATTGTAGCCCAGCATGGGAAATTACAGAAAAGCTAGACGTTAACGGAAGTCAGCTCTTCTCCGTTTTGAAGGTATTTCTTCCTGAAGGGTTGGGTAGCTATCTCCTGGCCCCAAAGCATAACAGCTATGTCACATAAGGGATCCAAGTTGATAATTCTAGACACTTCCTACAAAATTGAGTTTGCACAGTGTGTTTACACATTGAAATAGTAATGTGCATTATCCATAGATGGGAGCTGACCAAACTTAAATGTAGGCCCAATAGAAGTTTTTCATGGGTTTTGAGTCCAGAAGCGCTGTGAAGAATTTCCTGCTTCTCTAAAACAACCGCCTCTTCAGTGATGCTTTAAGTTACTCTTGTGGGGACAAAGTAAATTAACTATTATGTTCTCCCAGTAAAGCTCAGCTCCAGAGTATGGATAACGGCTGAGACTTGGCGACATCTTGTCTTAAAAGTCCCGGTGAAATATAAAGAGCTAAAACCACAGAGAAGGTCTAAAACTAAAACCTGGAGAAGGTCACAGTTTAAGGCAGAACATGGTAGAATGTACTAGAAGGGGAAGTAAATGAAGGAGTGAAGAAAACACCAACAACGCTTCACCACCTTTACAATTTCACTTAATAATGCTGTCACCTCTTCAGGAGTGTTTTATTTCATATGGCAGGTGCTACCAAATCCACCGGCCGAGGTACAGGGTGGACAGTGTAAGTGTCAAAGGGAGAGATGAAATACTAAGAGGTTCAGGGGACCGAATAGGCTGGGGAGATCAGAATGGGCTTTGTGAAGGAACTGCCGTTATAGATGGTACTTCATGGCAGAATTTTCCAGAACAGACGGCTGTCTTCCAGCATGGACTGAAGCAGGACAATAGAGGGTGGTTGGTACATAACGTTTGAGTGAGAATCCCTGTGAGGATGAAAGTTAGGGACTGAAACATCCTACCACAGCTTTCGTGTGTGTTGCATGGAGACGTCACTAATCACCCCTTTTCACAAGAAACCACCTTACCAATTTACATCCCTGTGCCCCAGAACACATCTCTCAGCCACTTCCCTGCCCCTGCTTTCCGAGACCACAGGTTGGATTGGTTTGCTTTGCTGTAGTCTCTGAGCTCTGTTTTCTCTTCTAAAAGAGCATGATGCTTAGGAATGCAGCCTTCGCCACTTACCAGGTTTTTGATGTGTCAGTAATTCCTCCCCATTTGCTTTGATGCAGCCATGAACATAGTTCCCACCCGTGTCATTTGGAGATTTGATATATGCACGCAAGTTAGGAACCGTAATCCACCTGAGAAGCACCACTTGCTTCTATGTATTTTGACTCATGAACATTTGGCCCAGACAGATGTCAAACACAAAATTCTTGTCCTCTGGCCTGTCCCTGATGCTTTCTTCCACTGGCAAAATGAAAGGAGTGGGTCTTACTTCTCCCCCACTTGCTCACCCGTTCTCCATGGCACATCTGCTAGGAGCCACTATGTTAGGATGGTGCTTGGATTAAGTACAAGATAAATAAAGTGCATGATAGAGGCTCACATGCATCCACCCTTTGGAGTTTGCCTGGATTGTCTTAGCACGATCAGACGCTGTAGGCAGCAGAGGGGGAAGCTGACCTGGCCTTGTAGACATTTATTTGGGGCAAGGGCAACCGTGGGGTGGTAGGGGTGGTGGCAATGTGGTCTGCTGATTCAGTTCCCTGCAATGACTACAAGGCTTTTTCTCCCCCTCCCTATTTTCTGGTACATCATGTTCTGGTTTTTATTTTTTTGGCATTTTTGTTAATGTTTTTGGCTTTTTTTTGTAAGAAATCTGAAATCAGAATCATTTATATCTTGAGCTTACCAAGACAGTCATACGCAGCATTAAAATGTACATAGAACAAAAGTGCATTTGTTTAAAAAGTATGTGACCTCATTTTGGCCAGGTTAAAGGCCTACTTTAAGATACTGTGTTGTTTTAGTATCCATTTCTGGTATGCGTCTGCTGTTAAGCATTTTTTCTCTACATTTATTAGCTTTTTATGTTTATTGTACTTTTCTGCAGAGCCAATTCCCGCTCCCCCTGCCATGCACATTTGGGACTACCAAAAAATGTCTCCGTACATTGCCAAATATTCCGTGGGGGCAAAATTACCCCTGGCTGATTACCACTGATTTATTTTAACCAGGCCCTTCTTTATGCCTCTTCGCTGATACTCATTCAGGTCAGAATGGCAGAGGAGATCCCTCCTGGCCCCTGGACCAATTTCAAGTAGAAAAGCATTCTAGAACAAAGTGGATAAGACAATGGCAATCATAAATCACTTAAAAAAATTAACGACCAATGTTTTCGTATGACATGAAATTAATACCAAAATGATCGCAATATCCTTTTGATTCAGGGCTATAAACACGGATCCCTACATCTGGCATGGAGTGGGCGAGATCTAAGTAAGGGATTTGTTCCCTCACTGTCCTCTAAGAATGGTTCCAGTATTAGAATGGGTCACGAGGCGTGTCTTTTTGTTTTGCCTTTTTTTTTAATCAAGAAACTGATTAAAACAGATCAGCCTTCAAAGAGGTGACTGAATTTTAGTCTGACTTCAACAGTGACTCCCAGAGAGCAGAGTTTTCAGTGCCTTGAGCCTGACTTCAACAGCGACCCCCAGAGAGCAGAGTTTTCAGTGCCTTGAGCCAGTGGCAGGTTTCCTGGCCCTTCCCTGATTGTTCTTCCTGCCCTGAGGCCCGAATGAAGACTGGAATCATGTTGCCAAAGGTGACGGAACTTCCTTTGTGTTAAAATGGTGGCCAAAGTCTTCCTAGGTCAGATCAGCGAGCCCACCAACCTCTCCTGTCAAATGTCACGAAAGTAGTGATATTTCCGGGTTAAATGGAACATTTGGGACTGAGTGATTCTCATCTCCTTTACAGGTGAGGAGACAAAGGCTCAAAGAGATGGTGTGACTGGCTCAGTCAGATCGCACTGTTCTTTAGAAGAAATGCCATGGTTAGTAAATGGGGCCTTTTTTTATTGACTGCAAATATTTTACTTTATAGAATCTATAAAGAATATAGTAACAAATATTATATAGATATACCAAAGGCTTGTTAATCTATCACCTATTATAGCAATAGTATTTTAATCTTTTTCTTCAATTATAAAAGCTGTTTATTACTGATTACAAAATAATATATATCCATTGAAGAAATTTTGGCAAATACAAGGGGAAATGAAAAAAAAACTGTTCATAATTACTTGGATAACAATGGCTAAGTGTGGCATATAACCAAATAAATAGTTTTTAAAAATTTTTGTTTACATTTGTATTTTCTTTTTCCATGTCACTCAACATTTTAATATGTGACATTTAGAGTCTTCCTAGTATCGTGAAGTCATTTGTGTTGAATCCAATATCCTTCCAAGAATCTGGAACAAAGTTTAAATATGAATCCGTTTACAATGGATATATATTATTTAGTGACCTCGCATCAATCATGCATGGTGGACTGTTGTTTTGGTGGCTCCCAATGAGCTGTGCTCCCGGTATTTAGGCTTTTGCGGAGTGCCCTTCCTCACTGGCTCTGAGCTTGGCCAGTAAACAGGACAATAGCAAGGATGATACAAGCAAGGGCTTATTAGTGCTTGCACACTGGGCTTTTCTCTACTGAAATGCACACTTTTAGAGTCTGCCATGAAAAGAATCCCATGCTTGCTACATGGCAAAAAAAGTAAAAGAAGTCACAGCCTCCCGACCACCCACCCTGGGGCACCAGACATGTGAACAAAGCCATCAGACTGCGAGTTCATGGGTCACCCCAACTGAGACCAACAGAGGAACAGCCCAGCAGAGCCCCAGGCAACTCACGGAACTGTGAGCAAATGAAGTGGTGGTTGTTTTAAGTTGCTAAATTTTGAGGTGGTTTGTTACAGCAATGGAAAATTAAAACTTGACAACATCAAATATGAAGAGCATCTAATATGCATCCAATTGGGAGAAGAAATCTTTAGAATCATAAACTCAAAAGGGACTTTATGTTACCTGGTTCAGTGGCTCAGGTTCTGGCTGACCACATGACCTGATGAAAGAACACGGGCAGTGGAATCAAAAAACCTGCATCATAACCCAGTTTTGCATATTACTATACATAGGACTTCTCTGAGTATCAGTTTCCTTGTGGAAAAAGTCAGGTTTTAATAATATCTACCTAGCAGATCTTTCATTCTTCAGCTTTATGAGTGATGGTGCTTCTAACTCAATGGAATCGTAAATAGGATGAAAGAATGTACAGGTGTGATTAGCGATTTTACTAGTGAGCCAAGTCTCCCAAATTGCAATCGAGGGCTCTTGCCACTGTACCACGCAGCTAATGAATCCACTTATGGGCCTACAGAAACCATCTGGTGAGAGAGATGATCTGTAATGCCCACTTGGTGAAACTGTTTCAGGTTTTCCTAAGGCAGCAGGCAGATTGCTTGAAAACCATTACATCCATAAACAGCCTTTTCTCTTTTTCACCAAGTCGTCTACTCCATTATTTGGATCGGGGGCCTTTTTTCAAAGCATCAGACCCTTTGCTCTCATCCGGTGAGCTCTGATTCTTGCATGGGACCAGCCCTCCACACGAAAGAAGGTTTTTGTTGTATGAATTTGCATATCCTGTGAAGGACATCTTCAGAACATTTTCGTTTCAAGGTAAAATGAAACTTATGAGACTAAGCAGCGAGGTACTTCATATTCTAGTTTAAAAGGGGAATGAGAAACAGAAGACAAGGTCAATTATGATACTGGGTATTACAATGCTAAAAATATATGATATACGAAGGAACTATGTTGGCTGCATTCTATTTCCATGTGTCATTTACAAATAGCAGGCTTACAGTGTCTGCAAATTTCTAATAAAGATTATGATTTGAAAAAGAGCCATGGATGTATCTAACTGAAGGAGTTAAAACTTCAGACTTGTTATAAAAATACCATGATGCTTATCATTAAAGTCCTCTCTCCTCTTCATCAAGCAGACCCTGACTTCAGCATCTGAGAATGGACACAGCCAGTAGAAACTGGAGGGATTAATACCTACCTCTCACTCACATGCTTGTCCAAATCAAGCAGCTTGTACGGAACAGCCTAAGACGTTATACTTCCCCATGCTGGGAACACAGCATTGCATGGACTAAAGCAATTTGTTTAAAGGATTTATTTAGGTTCGCTCCAGCTTTAGGAGAGTACATATGACACTAAGTTTCTACTGAAATACTTTGATGTCTTTGTCGGAGTCAAATGGCAGAGTGAGAACTCCCTCCTTCCGTCCCCAGCTATACACTTGTTCAAGCACCACTCTGGATGCCAGCTCAAGCCTGGCTTCCTTTACTCTTTAATTTCAGAGACTCAAATCCCAGGAGTCCTTCCATGTTTATACTCTAAAGTATGACACTAAATGAGGGCTGCCAGGTACAACACAGGATTCCCAATTCCATTTTCATTGCAGATAAACAACAACTAATTTTTTGGTATAAGCACGTCCCAATTTGCTAAATTTAGGTACTCTGCACTAAACCTTAACTACCCACTAAGGGCCTTTCCCCAGCCTCTTTATTTCCACCCAAAAGGAGAAAAGGAACGCAGTGAAACTTGGAAAAGCAAATGTGTGGCTTCTCAGCCAACGAGAGGCCTTGTCTCACAGGATAAACAGAAGAACACTATCTTCTTCATCCAGTAATTTCTCTTGAGCTAACCACCCTGCAGGGGATGGGCCCACCACATGGCCATCTTCCGGACCATCACTCTCCCTGGGCAGTCCCCCAGGGCCACAGCTAACTCTTCAGCAGAAGGTCTGTCACGGGTTCACGGTTAGTCATTGCACTTTTGTCTGTAACACCAAGATCTGAACCAACCCAGATACCCACCCATCGATACAGAGACAGGACCAAGTAAACTGGGATATCCAGACAATGGGATGCTTTCTACCTGTGAGAAGGAGTGAGGAGGCTCCGTATCCAGCCTCCATTGTAGAAGGAACTCCAAGGGAAAAAGCAACAGAGGGACGACGTATATGCTGACCAAGTATACCTGTGGGTAAAAAGGAGGGGGCTAAGAATATAAAGAAACTCTCACAAGATAAATAAGGATATACCACAAACAATGTTTTCTTGTGGGGAGGGGATAGGGTGGAATTGGGTGGGTGGTGCGTAAGGAGAGGGGAAGACGTTTTACTCTGTACCCATCGGTGTGCCTGTGCGTGTGTGTATCTGTGCAGAAAAGAGGTAACTTAGCAGGCCTGAGGCTGCTAGCATTACGAAGGCCTGCTGGCCAGGTTGACCTTTGACCGGCATCTGGGAACTTGGATTTCTAGTGGGTTCCCACTGTTTCCAGAACTGGTCAGGGTGGCTCACTGTGCCTCAACTTGTTTTGTAAACAATCTGATTTACGATGAGCACCTGCTCTCCTTCTGGGAGTCTAGAATTTTGGTATGTGCCTGCCAGAAAGTGCCTACGTGACCAGCCCCCAGTAGAAACCCCGGGCACTGCATCTCCAGTGAGCTTCCCCGGAGACAGCATTTTACATGTGTTTTCTCAACTGATCGCCGGGGGGAATTGAGTGCGTCCTGAGGAACTCCGCTGGGAGAGGACTCGGGAAGCTTGTGCCCGTTTCCTGCCCTCCTTGTCCTGCGCGCCTCGCCCCTTTACTCATTGTGGTTTGTAGCCTTTCACTGTAAAGAATCGTAGCTGTGAGTGAACTACATGCTAAGTCCTGTGAATCCTCCTAGTGAATAACTAAACCTTGGGGTGGTCTTGGGGACCCCAACAGTTTCTCCCCCACCTCTGGTAGTTCCGTACCACATGAATATATGTTACCTATTAAAGCAGAAGAACAACGAACGGCGTTTACTTTAGATTTGCCTGACTAAGAGCACTGGTCTACCTCCCTCCCTCCCTTCCTTCCTTTGTTTTTCTGATTTCTATAATTAGAGTTCATACCTCATGACCACTACTTTCTATTGAAATTAAAGAAAAAGGCTTACCTTATATTTGCCTAATGAAAAGCCCCATTCACAATGTTTTCAGAGAGAGAATCAAAGAGTGTGAGAGAGAAAGGGGAAAGAAAAATGAAAAAAACCAACAACACGACACATTTCACTGCCTCCATCTCTAAGCAGACTCAAGTCTTGCAGCTTTTAAATGGTAGTGTTAGTTGATTGTTTATTCATTTATTTAATTCAGCTTTCACACATTAATGTTTCAACATCTTAGAGCTTTGTTCCGGAAGACTATGTCCCTTTTTGTCTACATGAACAGTCCAGCACATAACTGGAAATACAGGTCAGCCATTCAAGAGAACACTTTTTTTGTCACAGAGCTTGAAGTCACCTTTGAGAGGGACATCATGCATTAAAAAAGTTTTTATACACAGAAAGATTGCAAAAAGATCACAGAGCATAACCAAACTCACTGTGTGAACACAGAGTGGCTCCTGCATTAGGAAAAAAAAAACAACACAGCTGTAAAAGATGCTCTGGGGAAAGATTGGGGAAATTGGAATATAAAATCAATATGAGATGATATTAGGGTATTGTTAATTCTCAGGTGTCATCCTTATTTTAGGAAATACAGGTTTAAGTGTTTTGGATAAAATGTCACGTTTGTTGGCAACTTTCAAATGATTAAAAATATATATATATACATACCTGGCCACATACAAAGGGGTAGAATTCATGTGGCTCACAAACAATGGTTGCACGTAGGCGGCAGGTATACAGGCTATATTGTGCAATTCTTTCAACTTTGCTATGTATCTGAAATTTTTCTAAATAAAGGAGTTGGGAAGAAAAAGAAAGTTTTAGTTAAACAGGCTGTTAAGATAATTGAAGCTAATAATGATATAGTATCGTTATTAGAAAACTAATAACCACTCTGCTATTGAATTCACCACATTGATTCAAGAAGGACTTGCTAGTTTAACAGAAAACATAGGCTTTATTTATGCTTGACTACTAGGTAAGTTGCACATGACTAGATTCCTGGCTGATTCAAACAGCTAGTTAAACTAAGCAGCTAGTGAAACTAATCACTTGACTGATCACTTCTATTGATTAATGATCTTCCTCTCAAAACTGACCTAACTGATTGTTCTTATTTTCATAAACACTGCTCAATGTCAGCATCATGAAGAAGGGCCTCTTACGCACATGGACAAGATGCTGGGGACAGGCATGTTCTTAACTCAAGGGTCAATAATATCAGTGGGGAGCTAGGAGATATGAGTCAAAGGTAAGCAACAATACAAGGAGGAATGATCAATAACTAAGTGCATAGTATCATAATCTCTCAAGATTTTGCCATAGAAAACCTGGATGTGTCTTTACGGATCACACAGCTTCATTCCCCACTTTACAGATGAGAAGCAGATTTATTTTTTATGTAGGCAAATTTTTCAGTGTTTTCTTTCAGACTCTGAGGTTCTTACTGTTGGATTTTTGTTGTCACGCTTAGAAGGACTTCCCACTTGAAGATTATAAAAATATTTATGTTTTCTTCTAGTACTTTTCATGTTCAATGTCTTCCACTTAAATTTTTTAACCATATGAAGTTAGTTTTGATGTAAGAAATGAACGGAGGACTGTAACTTAATTTTTTCTAACCCGTAAGCCTGCTGTCCAACATTATTTTAATAATTCCTTTTGCCATCAATGTGACTGTGATGTACCACATGTGCTTTTATTTAGTTCTGATATCTCCTCTCACTGTCTGTCGTGCTGGTAATATGCCACTGTAGGCCGTGCAGCATTATAATGCATTTATAGAGCTGTTGGAAAAATCCTTCCCTTGCTATTGTTTCTTTCAGAAATTACCTGGCTATTCTCACATGTGGTCTTAACCCAGTGAGATCTGATGCCTTATTTTTATCACAGCTATTTGGTGATGTGCCATTTACCTATGAAAGGACATGACATTTATGGATAACATAGCCCCAATCTCTGTGATCAACAAAATTGCCCAATTGATTTCCAAAATGATCCCAGTTGAGAATCGATCTGGCAAGTTACTCATGAAATCTATTGGTGTTTGGTTGGGATTGCACAGCATTTACAAATCAATTTAAGCAAAATCCCCATTTTGGACAAAGCTGTGGCCTCCAGCCCTAATAATGAAATACGTGTTTCTCTTCATTTATTTACATTTTCTTCACGTCCTCCGGGGTCCTGGCAGGAAACAGGTGGTACACTCAAAGTAAGACATTGATGAATTTAGCAAAGTACTGTTAAAGGCAGTTTGGACAGGATTTGGGGAAATCAGATGGGACGGTGCAGCTCTTCAGTGGGAGTCTTCCGGAGCGCAGGCCTGCCGTGGGAGGGGAAAGAACAATTGGTGGAATCTGGGAAGAGCAGTGGTGAGGAGCGCGTCACCTGACAGGAACCTCATTAGAGGGTTGCGGGCAGTACAACAGTTCCACAAAGGGAGGGAGCCAGGCGGGTAAATACCCTGACCTCTCTCTCCATTGGCCAAACCCCACCAGCAGCCTGGCAGTGGTGGATGAAGTTGACACAGCTCAGCCTCTTGGGGCACAGCACAGGGAGAGAGAGAAGAAAGGCCCGCAGCCTGGGAGGTAAAGCATAATCATCTCCCCGACTCCACCACCACCTCCTTCATTCCTACGCATTTCATGTCAGTTTTCTTCCCAAGTAGTCCATATTTTTGTCACTATTTTGAAAGGGATCTGTCTTATGACCAATCTGGGTAATTGTTTAAATGTGAGAAAGCTATTGATTTTCACATATTGAAGAGCATTTGACCTGGGAAAAGTCCAATATCTTTTCAGCACTAATTTCATTATTTGAAGAAAAAAATGATTAATAAGATGTTTACTTCTTTTCTGTATTTCATGAGACAGTACATATAGAGCAGTTAAAACAGTGTCTGGCTCATAACAAACCCTCAGTAAATATCCCCTGTTATCATTATTACCCAATAGTTTTTCAGCTGGTCTGCAGCACCACTGACTTTTCAATCCAGTTTATTAACCCTGATCATTATCAGCTGATTTCCCTGCAGCAAACTTTGCATTTTCAAATTCTCTCCAGGCTATGTGGGCTAACAAACTTGAAACAAAACGACCTCTATTTTGACTTGACTTACAAAAGGCCCCAGTCATCAGTTAAGAAGGGACCAATTCTCACAGGGACCCCATTTTGAGAAGCAAGGCTTTCTATCACACGGGACCGCAAGTGCAGCGGACCCTCTTCAACTGGACTGATCCAACCGGAAGCTGTGCCACGGCTTAAAAGCCAAAGTCTCTTTCAGTTGGCTGAAGACACAACAAGGTATATTTAGACATCTATAGAACAGTAGTTCTCAGCCTGGGGTGTTTTTGCCCTCCAGGGGATATTTTGCATTGTCTGGAGACATCTGTGATTGTCACAACTGGCCTCTAGTGAGCGTAGGTCAGGGATGCTGCTAAACATCTTACTGTGCAACAGAGAAGGATCTCACCAAAAATGTCAACAGTGTTGAGGCTGAGAAGCTCTCTTAGGAAAAAGGAGGAAGATGGGTCTACCAGCTTGTTTGGATTTAGAGGAGACATTGCTTCAATTATGGTGGTAGAAATAAGAGGAACCTGGTGCTTCTGCAAACCTCATGTCTGGGGTGAAGTCAGTGATCATGCTCCTCCCCCTTCCCCCCACCCTCACCCCCATCCCCCACCTGGTCTTTGCACTTGGACACCCCGAGCTGGCTGCCCGGAGCTGCTGTGACTCTATGCTTCCTGAAGCCCATCTCTTCACCTCACGAGACGCCAGACATAGGATTATTCCATGCAACCAAGAAAGGTATTTTAAACATTGGGATAAATTTGAATAATTTAACTAGTTGTAGGAGCCATTCTCAGGGAGTGGAGAGGGAACCCAAATGATACGCAAAAAAAAAATATTTTTGGGGGAATCGAAAGAAAAGGTTTGGTAGTCTAAAATGTCAGTTATTCAAAGACAGAGTCAAACTTCTAATAATATTAGAAATGCTTTCTGGAGTATGCTTCTTATCTATATAGCTTTGAGGAAGTAAATACCATTGACGGGTGTTTTCAACAGCACAGTTCTGAGCTATGTTCCCAGCAGATTTTGAAACTACAGTGCTCTTCTGTCTTTGAAAGAGAAAGTTTGGTGTTTTCTCTTTATCTGAGTTTATGCTCTCGGGCCCATCTCAGGCTGACCTTGATCTCTCTCATGCTCTGCTCTCTTCAACCAGACCTCTATATTTCATTTTGGAAGAAGACTAAAAATGGTAAGAGCAGCTAAGAAATCCCTGAGAAAGTGTTATCTATAACCTTTGTGGGGAAGAGCTGAAACCAGCTGGCAAGAGAAAAGTTTAAGAATCGGTACTTTGGTTATTTTCGGGGGGAAACGTCTTCATGATATTTCATAATCAAGATTAATCATGCGGGTATTTCATAATTTCAGAGTATTCGATGCTTGCTCTATCAACTTCTTACAGGAGTGAATGCGTGCTGTGGTGACGAGGAGCAAGTGTTTGAACAGGGGAAATAGCTTCTATGGACCTAACTTTTCACCTTCCGTTTTTGGCTTTCAAGCCATACAAATCAATGAAGTTACTTTGTGCTTTTAACAGCGTTTGGGGTTATCTGAATGAGTATGTGTGCAGGCGAGCACACAGGACTGGGGCCGAGGGGGGCCTGGGCTCGCATGCTGTCAAAGGAAACCAGAGCTGGGTAGTAGTTCCAGCTGTAAAAATAGGTTTTGTTCAGGAGCTATTGCAGTAGGGGAAAAGAGACGTCAGTATAGAACTGTGCTCAATTCCAAATACAGCATGGACATATGGGACTTTATAACAAGGACCAGAGTTGGGGGTCAGTGGATGGAAAAATGACTGAGAGGAAACAGCACGGGTAGGGATAAAGCAACCTGGCAGGATTCTCACTGAAAGCAGGTCAGGGAGATGGGACATCACCTGGAGGGGAGGGTGGCAGCAGACGAGGGGTTTGATCAGATATCAGCAGTAAAGGATGCTCCCTAAACTGACTCAACAGGATTCTTGCTAAAACTAGATGGACATGGAAGGCCAAAGGTCAAGGCGTAGTGGCTTAGAGGAACCTGACTAAAATTCAGTCAAGGAGAGAGGGTGTGTCAGTGCCAGCTCTCCAGGTCACTAGCTGGGGGACCTCGGGCCTGTCACCAAAGATCTCAGACTCAATTTCTTTGACTATAAAGTGAGCATTATAATACCTCTCTGGTTGCCTTCTAGGGCTATTGTGAAGCTCATAATAGAATGTATGTTCAAGTTCTTTGCAAGCAGTATGAGTTATAGGTATGCCACGAATTAATCAAGAAAAGACACCAGCAGCCTTTTTCTGAAATTATTTTGTCACCCAAATTAGATACGATGGAGTGCATTCACCAGGAACCCACTCTGACTTCTAGATCTGAATGTTGGCACCAGGGCTCATTTTGTTCCTAAGGCCTAATGAAAAGTACTAAGTATAGAAACAACTGCTTCTAGTTTCATTTCCTAGCCACTGGGATGTCTATTTTTATGCAAACCCATGCCCACATCTGCCTTTGCCCCTTGAGGGGTAGCATGTGAGGACTAATAATAATAGAGTTCATATATATTGACCACTTACTACAAGTCGAGCATCATGCTAAGGGCTTGATGTCAGTGTTGATGTTTCTCCTTCAGAGCAGCCTTACAAGGTGCAGCTGAAGGAGCTGGGGCTTCCAGAGGTTAGGGGGAGGGGGTGGTCTTGGCTGGAGACCCCTCTATTCTACTTAGACAAGCCCGGCACACAATGACCCACAAGACACTCAGGAAATTTGGGCTTCAATTATGTCTTATTACTTCAGAAAAAAGGAGAAATTGGTACATATTTTATAAGAAAAGACATGAAGACAACTTCCAATAGAAGAAATACAAGAGGCCAAAAACAAATTATTCAACATTTAAGTTATATGTCAGATCCTTTGATATGGAAACTCTGCTTCTAGAAACACTTCTTGAAGCTATCAGGAATGTGGCAAACTATTTACAAAGATAGTCTATGCCACATGCAAATAGAATATCTCATGTCCAATGTTGGGGAGGGGTTAATTAATTGAAGTATACCTGTTAAATGGAATATTATATAGCCATCATAGCAAATTTTTAAGAAAGTACTGAATGACATAAGAAAATACTCGTGATATAATGGTAAATGAAAAAAGCAAGCTAAGAACTGATAGATACCATATCTTCCCAGTGTTTTTAATGCACGTGCTGAATGCTTACTAAATATTGGTTAATCTGTGATGATGGTTGACGTGAATAAATGTATTAACCTATTTCGCTTAATAGTGTCGCAAAAGAGCCCTGCATTCTAATCCTTTTACAGTTGAGAAATCAGAGGCTCATGAGGTAAAGTGATTCACCAAAGTCACAGTGCTCTTTCGTGGCAGATTAAGAACTTAAAAATCAGATCTTTTCACTGGCAAAGCCCCGGCTAGTACTAAAGCGCCTCTCACTGTGTGGAGATGAGTATTAGGAGGAAACATGCTAAAATACAACAGTAGTTAAGATATTTTAAAAACGTTATTCTGCTCCTCCCTATAGCAAATTTCTTCACAGCCAAACAGATGATAAGGAATGCACTTACTAAATTAAACCTGTCTATTTAAAAATGTGGAAGACTGATAAAATTAAAAACAATCACCACAGGTTAATCAGCCAGTGTCTTGGCACTCCAAAAGCAGATCATTTCTTAGAAGCCCACCAAAGCTTCGGGCTGCAATGGTTAAATTATGGCCATTGGCCGTAGCCAGCCTGCCACCTGTTTTTGTACAACCCACAAGCCAAGAATGTTTCTTATGTTTTTAAATGACTTTAGAAGTCAGGACACTATTTTGTGACCCATAAAAGCTATGTTAAATCCTCATTTCAGTGCCCACAAATAGTTTCATCGCTCATGTAATATATCATTTGTGATAGAGACTGTATGGCCTGCAAAACATAAAATACATACTCACGGGTGTAAAGTCAAAAAAGATTTACTGTCTTGGGTCTTTGGTGTCTGTTGTGATGCATAGTAGCTGTTGAGTTTCTGGGTTTTTTGAGACTATTAAAAACTAAGTCTGGGCAAAAATGGTAGGAAGTAAATGATGAAAAGTATGTTTTTAAAGTAGTGGGTTATATGCTGGTACTTAGGTTTTTTGTTTGTAATGAGACTGACATTCATGGTAATCATGCTTTACAGAGATTGGCCTATAATTAGAAATAATTTCAAAATTTGCAAAAAGGGGGATATTTGCTTGTAAATTTATTAGGGAAATCCCAGTGGAGGCTCAGTCTCTAAAACAAATAGCACTTCAGTCACTTCCCTTATTCACAGTGCTTGGTTAGCCTTTAGGGTGATGTACAGGACACATACCTAGTTGTCAGACAATTCAGTGTCCTATCAAGAGGGCAAAAGGTTCGTAAACTCAAATTCTAGGGTTCCCGCAACTGCTCCCCCACTCCTTGCCCTTTCGTGTCCATTCTCCTCCCTCTCCAGCCAGCCATTCCTCTGCTTCAGCCCAGCCCACCCATTTGCAGGATCCCCACCATGACCTGAAATCCCTTGCTTCCCCAGCTTGACTGAAGGTTCCCTCCACCAGAAAGGCATATCCCAACACTTCCTTTTCACCTGGGGCAACCAGGCATTTCCCTCCTTTGTGATCTTGAAAATAAATCAGAGGAGCAGACGATTGGTCGGAGCTGTTGTGACCTGCAGCGTGGCCCACAGTAGCCCACAGGGGATGCCCAGTATGTCGGCCTTCCGACTGGTTGGCTGGGTAAACTGAGTGGAGGTAAGTATACCAGCAATTGTTCCTAGACCTCCAATATTCCCATGTCAACATGAATTTCCTTTAGGTGAAGAATTTTGCTGAAAGGAATGAAATCTAAGCAGATAGTAGCTAGACGAAGAATTATGATAAAGGCCAGAAGGTGAATGCCGATTACAGAAAGGTGAGGAGGCTGTGGGGCTCCTTGCTGCCACCAGGTAGTCACCCTGGCTTCCTCATCCAGGCCTTCCGGCCCTCGTGGAGGACCCTGTCCCCCTCCTCCTCTCCTCCCTTGGAACCCGCAGCATCTCTGTCGTCTCCTCACTCTTGGCGGATTAACCATCCCTCCTGCTTCACTGAGAACATCGCAGCAATTGGAAGGGGAAGTCCACGTGGTCCCCTCTCCTTCTATACCTTCTGCACTCCTATGTCCTGCTTCACCTCCTGTCCAGTTACCTATTGCTACTCAGCAGATGAGCCCCAAATTGCTGGCTTAAAACAGCAATGATCCTATACACTTGTGTGTCGTGGGTCCCAGGGTCGGCTGGCTCAGTAAGGTGGCTCTCCGGCAGTTGTCAGTGGGGGCCGGCCTGGCCTGCACGCTCACTCTCATGGGGCTGTCCCCATGTGTCCTCTCCCATATGGCGGCCACAGAGTGGGGGACTTCCTACTAGGCTGGAGGCTCAGGACCCCAAAGCAAGTGCAGGGAGCACCGCCAAAGATGAGCTAGGGAGTGGGTGGAAACACGACCGCCTTTTCTACCCAGGCTGCGGATGTCTTGCAGCATCACCGCGGCTGCCACCCTCCGTGAAGACAATCACAAAAGCCTGCCCAGGTCCGGGGGTGGGCGTGTCAACAAATCTGTGGACACTTACACTAAGGCTAGCATTTGTACGCTCCTCGCTAAGACCATCTCCCCGCTAGCATGCAGGGGCCCCTCCTTGCTCGCCTCCTCGCACCTGTAATCTCTGCTTTCTCTCTACATCATCAGTATTATTCCTGCTTTTTTGGACTCTTTTTTT